ATATGCAGTTAAATGACAGGACTGGTTCTTCACAACCTGACTCAGTAAAGATTATTCCTTGGAGTTAGACAAGCAGTAAGATTCTCATTCAGGTTGAGAAAACTTTTGTTTGGAGTGAGCTTTTTTTGTGTTGCAGGGTCTGACCTTGGATTTATAGGCATACTGTAGTGGGTTTGATTGCTTCATAAGTTGTCTTGCTTCTTTTTAACACTTGAAAGAGGATATCAAATAGAAAAAAATACAGTGGAGAACACCTGTAGGACTTTTCATAATATTTTTCATCTTTTAATGAAAAAATTCCATAGAGCTTTATGAGTGAGGGAAAAATAATATACAAAATTCATACTAAGATACTTTATACCAGTTAGTAGAGTTATTCATCTCTTGAAGAAAAACCATTCACAAAGCAAGATGCTACCTAGCACATGAAACAGTTGCGTAACTCATGCAGATGTCTTTTTTTGAACTTACCAGTTAGAAAATAAGCCTTATTATTTCTTATTAGAGCTTTTAACTCATTTCTGCAGCCACACAGCTCATTATAACCAGGTGAAAATGGCACCATACGTAATTCATTCTGTCTTTTAACAGCAACTGCTATCCATCTCGAGATGGAAGAATCAGTGCTTGATAAATTGCCATCTTTGTGCCATACTCCAGAGGATTCCAGGACAGCAGCTCCACAGGGGACTAGTTCAGGGAAACAGGTATGAAAACTTGTTTTTCCAATAATGTGACTCTTGGTAGTAACAAATGCTTGTGAAATCATCAAGTAGTCAGAAGTCACTGAGATGCTCTGTGCTGGAAGGCCAGATGTGGGTAGCTTGTACCCACAGCTACAGGGTTGTCCAGGTAGGGAATGTGCTTGGTGTTCTTTGCTCTGAATAAGCAGATGCAGATATGAATAGGCTGTGAATACCAAGTGATGGGGTGGTGTAACCCACATGCCGTACCAATAAATTTAAATACTGTTTAGGGTTCGTGGTGGGTTTGGTGGTTGTTTTTTGGGTTTTTTTAATGTCATCTTGTTTTTCTCAAACCCTAGTTTTCTAGGTTGCTGCGTATGCAGAATGACTTTCTGTGACTCGTACGAGCACTCAAAGGACACTGCTTTCAGTTTGTGTGTCCCCGTAGCGCTGAGCTCTGGTGATGCTGTTGCATTCAGCATCTGGGCCTGTGCAGGACAGGGCTAGTTTGCAAGTGTTCCTTAGCTAATCCCTCTCTCCCATATTTTAGTATCTTTTCACAGGTAAAACATTAGACACAGATTATTAAAAAAAACACCTAATGTTTAACTTATTTTGAAGAAAAAAAGAGATGCTTATCAGTGAAGGATCTCAAAGCATGAACCAGTCAAAATTATACAGATCATTTCTAATACTCTCAAGTAGAATACAGATGTTTCATACTAGTGCTAATACAGAAAGTGTATGTATGGTGGGGTGGAACAGCAAAAAAATCCCAACCCTTATCTCCATTAAACTAGAGGGGGAAGTTGAACTTGATGGAATAAAATTAGCCAAGTTGAAATATGCTAAATATCTTCTACACAAAGACTAGGTGAGTAGGTTTGCCTCAACAGGATTCATAGCTCCACATTTTCAGAGGCATCTTTCTGTGTCTTGCAGCTGTGTGTGCAAATACACGTGAAGGGAAGAAGTTAACTTTTGTTCAAGTTTGTGAAAGCTAGAGAGAGAGTTAGGAAGTCTGGCTTTACAATGGTCTATACATATATGATGTATTCTCTGTAAATATTAACCAGGGTAAACAGTTATTTGAAGTTTGATTCAAAAATTAAGATTATTCTGATCCTTCTGGTTGTTTTTGTTTTATTTTTTTAGCCAATGAGTGCAGCTCTGAGGGAGCGATTAAGGAGAACAAGACGTTCATTTAATGCTAATTTTACAGTGGCAAAGCGGCTCAAAATAGACACTGAAGAAAAAGACTGTGCTGATGCTGACAGAGGGTGCCTGCCAAAAACAAGTACAGGTTGTTCCAGATCACAAGGTGGTTCTGAAAACCTGGAAAGAAATGGCACTGGGCATACGTGTTTCAAAAGTCCCTTACAGGAGAGTGGTGTCTGTGGGTCAGCAGAGAATTCTGATGTGCTACAGGTTGATCATAGTCAGCAGCCGTCCCAGGAAGAAAAAGTAAGGCTGGTGAAACAAGTGCAAGAGAAGGAAGAACTACTTCGGAGGCTCAAACTGGTTAAGATGTATCGATCTAAGGTGAGACAAACTTCTGAAAAAAGCACTTTTAAGTCATTCTTTGAAGTGGAATTCATAGCCTAATCCTCATTTATTAATTTAAGCAACAATACTGACTCACTTTGTGTGTGGTGGTTGTGCATCATCTCAGTTTAAGGCATCTTATAAAAACAGACTTGCAGGGTACCAAAAAACCCCCCGTTTCAGCAAATGACAAAATTTTTGTTTTGTCCCAATTTCAGAACAACCTGTCTGAACTGCAGGCTTTGATAATGAAATGGAGAAGTAGCACCCAGCTGATGCTGTATGAACTACAGTCAGCCTTTTCTGCAGATGGCAAGAAAGTGAGTCTCACTCAGCTGATAGATACTTTTGGATTAGAAGACCAGTTACTGCACTACAGCAGGACAGAAGAAGATTTTGTTGATGTATAATCTACAGGTGCAAAGCTTTCAAGCAAAAGCAGAAAAGACTGAATGAATTCTGATCACATAAGTAGTGTTGATCAGACAGTGGACTTTAGGCTTTGTGGTTTGTAGGTTTTCTCAGGAGATATTTGTAAAGCTATGTTCTTGGATACAGTCAGCACTGTAAAAGGCATTACTTAACAGAAAAGATTGAACTAGTGCTGTTTTGGAAAAGCTGGCTTGATAACTTGATCAGTGAATTGGTATTTAATAAAAATAAAATCAAGTCATACTGTAACAGGTAGAAGGCAGTCCATTCTTTGATTAGTCTTTGCATGGTTGCTTGTCTTGAAATAATGAACTCAAATTAATTGTTCTTTCTGTTGCTGTTCAGACAGGCAAGTTCGGTTCTTTGTTCATAGATATGTCCCCATTTTACAAATGTCTTCCTGTTGCCTGTCAGTTATGACAGCATTCTGTGAGTTAAGCAAAGATAACTAATTTTCATGTTGTTAGTATTCTGAAGCTGCAGTGAAATGTCCTCAATAGCTTGAATTATTACTCAGGGAAATGTGCCATAATGCAGTCATTTCCAGATACTGGTCCAGACAGTTGTCTTCAGGGAAGCTGTCTCTTAAGCATTCTACCACAGCCTGAGGTAACAGAAGGGAAGGCAAGAAAATTGCAGCCAACATCTGTCTACTCTACTACTTCATGTGAGAGCCAAGGTGTTCTCTCTCTTCAGATAAGTAAGAAAAACAAAGCCTTGTCTAATGGGAGTGCTTACAGCATCATAAAGCTGAATAAAACTTTAGCATCTCATTTATCCTCCAATAAATGTTGTCTCTTTAAAATGTTTTTTTAATCTTGAAATTGCTCATTTTCTCATCATGGCCTATGCATATAGTGTGGTGACTGGCGTCTCTTTTTATTCTCCTAAACCTGCTGCTTGTCAAGTGTAACTACTCTACAGCTCTCCCTGCTGTGAATGTTGTTTTATATGCAATCACTCCTTATTAGTTGTACCTTAACTGTTTTGTTTACAGGGGGCAGTTCCTGTTTCCTAAAGGGAGTAATTTCTTACATATTTCAAGGGAAAGAAAATCAAGGATTGTACAGACCTTTTTAACACTGATAGGGCTCACTAGACTTAAATCTGTACCTGCAACTTGCTCTGAAGAATACTGATTGGTTCTCTCCACAGAGAATTAATGAACAACAACTGTTATTGCTAATCGTATTTTGAGTATTAAGACATTCTTTCTTCTGCCTCTTTAGTAAAAAAGGCGGTTGGTGCCTGGTGAAGGGGGCGGTTCTTTTTCCTGAGATCCTTGGCAAATTTGGAACTGTGCTGCTTCTAGGGAAGTTTCAGCAGAAAGAAAAAAGTCTTGAAAGAAGAAGGGAGATTAATTAGAATCCTTACAGACCCCAGTCAGATGGTAAAGCAAAAAAGGAGGTGGTGTGCAAGATCACAACAGAAATAGTGTTCCTTAAAGTGAAGAATTTTGTTGAACTAATTATCAAAGCTATTAATGCTCTCACAATGGAATGCGTTTAGATTTTATGTGAATTTATGAAAGGAGAAGAAGGATTGACACACACTGTGGAAGAGGGAAATAAAAATGGTGAGAATGCCTGAGCAGGTAGATCAGTTTCCAGCAGTGCTTAATTTTATTAAGGGTTCTTTATCTGTCTTAGCTGTCTTGGAGAGATGCGGCAGGAGATTAGACCGTGTATCAATGTGAAGGTGTGGGAGATGGCAGCAACTATTTTTAGGAGGCCAGATGCTTCCAAACCTGGTTTTCCTGTGATTCTGCCAGGGGCAGCAGCCACAGCTGCTGGTGGCTGCGGGTAATTATGCCATCCTAAGCTGCAGCAGCTTTCGGGACCAGGCCAGGTCCCACCCATGGTCATGATGCATGCCTCCATCTTCTCAGCAACCCACTCTTGTGCCATCACAGGTGTAAACGTATTTTAAAAAGCAAAATGAAGTCAAAGCCACAGTGTGAATTTTAGCAAATGCAAATTCATAGGTTCTTGCAGTGCTTCAAAATGTTCTACAATTGTGTACTGCAGACTCAGGCTTTACAAATACACCTGTTCTTCTATCGGTCTACAATGTCTTGTACTGTCTGTTTTCTGTAATGAGCTATAGGGTTTATATAATTAAACCAGCAGAAATAAATCTCAACTGAAATATGGGGATAAGACTAGGTATAAAATGTACAAACCAGACAAACATGCATCTTTCAAACTGAAGTTATTTTTAAAGAAATTAGAGAAGAAAACATTTGGGGAAAGAAAAGTTCAGGGAGAAAAGGTAGATGTCAAAGCTCTTTTTCTTAGACAAGACCATGGTATTAGACGACTACCTGGACTCTGATTTTTAAAGAATAGGTAATGTTCTTGATCTCAATCTTTCAACTTCTGCCTGAAGAATTTCAAACTGTTCTTCCTGTTCCTTTACAAGACCCCGTAGGTGTTTCTGCTTCAAAATCTCTTGGTAACGCTGCTTTGCAATCTTTTTAGAAACAGGCTCTGTGTCTGCATAAAACAAAGTATAAGGGTTAGCTGTACTTGTAGGGCATGCATGGCCTGTCTTTATATTGGATTTGTCCTGGGGTTATGCCAAGGCCTGTATAGAATAGGCAAGCATTTTTTAAAAAGGCTCACAGTTGGGGCTAAGAGTCTTTATAGTACTGAATAGAGCAAAAAAAAATTCATAAAGGCACTGGGAATGCTTCCTTTAGTTTCTAGCAAGTACCTACTGTTTTGAAAATCCGTAACTGTTCTACTAGTGGAAAGTTCTCTACAGTTTTCTTAATAGTGAATTCCCTTCTCAGCTTCACGTTGCTTCCTCTGTTCCCTTGAAGGGGTGGAAAGAAGTGGGTTGAACAGTTCTGAGAGAGAATGAAGGCATGTTGCCTAATGAAGGTATTAATGACTATAATATATTGACTTAAATAGTTTCAGCAATTTAGCCAATTAACTGTGGTTACGAAAGCAGCAATCTCTAGGTATGCTCCTAAGTAGGTAATGTTAACCGTGGTAGAAAGGGCCCTACTGATGGTGCACAGGCAGGAATGAATTGGCACTCCTTACCCCTCAGCTGATGCTGATGAAGAACAGGACCTTCTAGCCTTGGAGATATTTTCTGAATGTTCTTTACTTGTGACTTAAAGTGCATTACTATGACTCACCAGCTGCCTCAAAGATATGCCTCCTTTCTGAAACAGAGACAAGCATTTCTTTCAGCTCCAGGCTGAGCTCGTAGTTTGCTTGCTCTTTTAAACTGATGCACTTCTCCAACTCTTTAATTCTTTTCTGACGGTTCTTCACATTCTTCTTGTGCAGCTGTCCATTTCCAAATGAATAAAGCAAATAGATGAGTAATTATACAAAAGCTGTTCAGAGAAACTTATGATGGAAATCTATAATCTTAAACACTACATTGTAGCTCAACAAACTTCTGTGTCTTTTGATTTGACTAGTAGCAGTAGTAGCTTTACTTCGTGTAGTATTTCACACACTGTATTCCAGTATGCTTTTGGAGTTCTAATACAAGTAGCAGACAAGGAACAAAAATGTCTGGGTCAGGGAGAGAGATACATTAAAGATACAACTTGAAAGGCAAAGGGAGGAAAGGAAGTCAATGGGAAGTTGAGAATATTCTCTTCACTGCCAGGAGCTGCTGAAGAAATGGTTGTTGTGCTGAAGCTGTCAGATGGGCTGTAAAGGGACAAGATAAATACTAAAGCTTGAAGAGGAAGAGGAGGCTGACGCTAGCTAGAGGAACCTGGAGAAATTCCAGTGGAATCACTTAAAACGAAGGATAATCGTAATTTGAATGTTGAAATAGATGAGGGAGCCAGCAAATGAGATTGTTGTGTCTCTGTTATTTTGAATATAGGGGGTGGTGGTATTATGACCAGGCTGGCACTCCTGGAGAGAAACATTAAGCGGTGAAGACTGGAAGAATGCTTCATTAGAAATGGAAGAGTGATTTTAAAAGGCAGTGCTGTGTAAGAAGTGATAAGCAGGTCTGCATTCAGATGTTCAGGAAGGTAAGCATTTAATTCCAGTAACAGACCAAGCAATTTCTCTCCGTAGGGTTGATCTGTGCAGCAGTCCATGTGTGACGACTGCTTCCAAAGACTTTAGAGAACTGCTGCTGTAGACAGCTCAGCACAAGTTGAAGAAACTGTTGAAAACCAGATGAATAAATACACGGATATAGATACATTCATCTGTTACGGCTATGCTCCAACAGTCCTTCAGTCAGTGTGCCTGTATCAGCTGCACTTACTCCTTACAAACACTTCCTGCTAATGAGGGAGAGGAGTTGCATTTAAACTAAGGATGCGTCTCTCAAATGTAGTGGTTCACTGAGGATTTACCTTATCCATGACGCCAAGGGTCTGCTCCATAACTGAAATGTGGTGGGCAACGTGGCTGTCGTAGTTCAGCACAGTTAGGAACTGAAGAATTAAAACCAAAAAGAAACCATTGTATTAAGCCTGTTTGTTCCCAACAACTCCACACTTCTGTCAAGATAATCGTACTATGTGAAACTCAAAAGCTAGGATTCTGCACAGTGGAAAGGCTCACTAGTGATCATAAATGGACATTGTAAAGATACTCTTGGATGCTATGTGAATACTAGACTGTACAGCTGTTAAAAATAATATTTATTATGTGTTAATGGAAACAAAGACCAAGCAAATTTGGTGTGAGGTGGTCAAAAAAACCAAGCTATACTTTTGCTTATAAAGTAGTCTAAGATAACACAGCTGGAGGCCAAAGTGCTATGCAGGCTGTCTTTAGGCCAGAGAAGAAAGTGATTATTTTCTGTCAAGTGGCTTCCTAGTAATTCTTACTTCTTTTATTGTTCTTACACCTGCATAGTAATTCAGGTTTCAGAGAATTTATTGAAGACTTTTTCTTGGGCCCACTGCTACTGAAATACCTCTTTATAAAATGACAAATGGTAAAACAGGCTGTATGACCTGTAATGGGCATTAGACGGGTTTCTGTAGATGTAGATTCATCCTTCCAGAGTGGTGTCCCCATCAAAGTGACAGGTAAAATTTTGTGGACTGCTCTAGTTAGGAGAGAAGAAACAGGAAAGACCCAGCAGGTTGCTTGCCTACGGCACCAAACTGCTTTCCCTCACTGTAAATGAAGGCTCATTCATTAACAGCCCGCATTCCAGGTGTTCTCAGGTTCTTGCCTGCACACATTTATCTAAGTCACCTTTCCTTCTGTTCCTATTGTTGGGGTCTCTGTTGCCTTGTCCTTCCTACTAACTCCCCATTTCTACTCAAAAAGTGAAGTAAAGCCAAGCCCCTCAGAGCATTCAAATTTTGATTAAACTGGTATATGCCTTTGCTATGGGCAAGTCTAACTCTCTCTGAAGGGCGAGAGTCCTGCTCATCAGTTTAAATGAAGTTTGAGCTAATGGCAACATTCTGGTGATAAATTTGCTACGAGAGCTTTTCACATCACCTCTTTGGAAAGCTGTTTTGTTGGTGTTAGTTATGGAAGTCCCTTGGCTGTGATTCAGAGGTGAACAAGCAGTTTGGAGAGCAGCAAAACAAATGAAGCCTGAGCAAAACACGTGTTTTGGATTTTCTTTTAATCTTTGATTGAATTGCAGTATCCTTACCTGCCCACCAACATTCTTCATTTTCTCTGTGCTTTATAGCTCTCCCCACTGCAGTATCTCCAGCCTACCAATCCTCCAGCATCCCTTACTCCAAACCTTTATGCCCCACACCGGAATGCCGCAAAACCATCAGCTTTCCCTGCAGTCCTCTGTCCCATACTGCAACATCCTTTCTTCTTCCTCCTCTCTTCTCCCACTTGTATTCTTGTCTCTCTCCCACAGCCTGTATCTATGTTTTCTGGCCTGCCAGCGGGGCTTGTTCAAAGCTGTGTGGGTACTGACTTGCTGGCCAGCTGCTGCCTCTTGCCTGCCAGGCGTGGCAAACAATTCCCTGTCGTTCTGCTGCTGGGCCAACAAATGGCAGCGAGTGGGGCTCAGTGAGGCTCCTGTATGAATGCTCAATCTTTGTATACTGAGCAAAAGTTACGCTATTTCTGTAGAATGCCAGATGGGGGCACCTCAGACCTTTCACTTAAAAAGAAGTTATGGTGCTTGATTTAAAAGATCTGTTCCTTGTGGCTGCAAAATCCTGATTCCTTACTCTCAGTGCAAATTTTGAAACACTAAGAGTTAGGGTTAATTTTGCCTTCATCTACACCTGAACATCCGAAAGAACTTCATCACTGATCAATCTCAAAGAGTAAAACTTCCCTTTGACCTATTAGGCATCATGTTTCTCCATAGTAGTAAGAGACTTATGAGGTATAAATGATCTTACAGGTACAGGCAGAAAAATTTTCTGCAGTCAAAATATAAATTAGAGAAAGTAACTCACTAGCTGGTGATCTTTTGAAATAGGAAGTGTTACAATATCCTGAGCCTTCTGTTTCAGATCTTCTATCTGCATTCTCATTTTCTTGTGTTCCCATTCCAGCTGAAATATCCCTTTAGAGAAGTCTTTACATTTCACCATGTTAGCAATTTTTTTTTCTACTTGAGCCTGAAAAAATAGATTAATCTTAATTAACATAGTTTACAGATTATGGAATAATTACTTGCAACCATATAGGCAAGCTTCCAAACTTATAATTTTAGTAAGGAAAACATGCTATACTGCAGTCTCTTCTCATACATTGCTCCAGATGGTTATCTTTTGTGGAATTTTCTTCCCTTTTGTGCTCTGTGCCACAGTCTTGGATCACAGAAGGAGATGAAGAAAATGACAACCAACCTCTCTCTCTCCATCTTTCTATCTTTTATGAGAATGCGAAGGCATTTTAGCTCTACAAAATACCAGCTTGCTCTGTATAAGGTATTTTGCAGTTATTACCAAAGGCTTTGTGCAGTAGCAGTAAGAAGCAATTTCTCTACAGCTAGAACGCCTAAAAAAAGAATGTTTGATGAGATTATGAAAATTGTAAGTATGATCACCAATTTCACCTTACATAAATAAGTGTATTAGGTTTTTAAATCTTAATGTAAGGTACTGTTTAAATGCTCCTCAACATGACTATAAGTTTGCTTTGAGGGAATTTTTGGACTGGTGCCCAGGATATTAGCATTTTCTATTTACAGCATGTGTGTAAGTGATGGTGTGTCTAAAAACTGTTGCCATTTAATTGGTCTGAATTTTATTGATCAAACATCAAGAAAGCAGTCTGTATCGCAATCTTTACATCATGATAAGAGACATTACAGAATTTTAATAGCTTCCAGATTACAATTGAGCCTACTGATGTGTAGTAATGAACTGAAACTATATGTCAAACTAGATGGAGAAAAAGCAGAGCCCCTGAAGGACAATACATTTGTTTAAAAAGCTTAAATTTCCTTCAGATAAATTACCATGATAGAGCAATTCAGTTCTTCAATAACACTCTTATTAATGAGAATGGCATCAGTGTAGTCTGGGATCTCAGTACTTTCTAATTCCACCTGTCCTTGTTTTAGCAAAAACTGGACAGTCAAATTCAATTGAAGTTTCATCTTCTCCTCCCGCAGCCTAAAATGGCGGAAAATAAAAACAATGTTTAGTGTTTTCAACAGGATTGTATAAATCCTCCCATGATTCTCAAAATGTTTATATTTATTACTGGTAAGTGGTATGTTCATGCAGGCGTTACTCTTTGACAGCCTGTCTTCTCTTTGCTCCCAAAGTGACTACAGAATCTATAATTTCTTTCCATACATTCAGTTTTCAACCACAGTTTAACACAGTTTAGCAGATATTCTGAGAGAAAGTGTTGTTACTGAAGAGAAATCTTAACAACAACTGAAAAGGAAATGAGGGAGACTCCCAGCCATCACCTGTTTTCTTGTGTAACTTATCCTAGGGTTTGCTTCTGAATGACAATGAATGTGAAAATTACGTCATGTACATGAAACAATGAAATATTGCAGGTCCAAGCATCTCAGTGAAACCGGGTGTCATGTGGCATATTGCAGTTACGGGCGATCACTGTATCTTAGGCCTACACGAGCAAAATTTAACTGAGCTAGCTAGAACATACATGGCCTTGAAGGCTTTGGGGGATTCACTGTATGATGTAGCTTTTGGAGTGGTCAGTTCGCATTGAAGACCATGCTGCCATCCTTACTGATGTTACTTAAGATGGTAGATTAAGACTGGTTTGGCATGCTCACATGTTCTGTGATCACACCACATTTCAGAAATATCGTAGGTCTCAGATAAATCCTAGATAAAAGAGTGTTGGAGAACACAGCTGTGTAATTCTGTATGTAGCTTTTAGTTCTGTGTTGGTAAAGTATTAAAATATAGCTGACCATAGGAAAAGAAACAAAATTACCAAGTGAGTTCTTGGAAAATGTCTTCTATTTCTGACTTAATCTTCTCATTGTCACCCATTCTCCTCTGGAGAAAGGCCTGCATTTCTGCCAGTGTTAGGGCCTTCCATTTCACCTAAACAAGCAACATCATGACATTCTGAACTTTTTCAACTTTGTCAGTATGTCAGGGCAAGCCTCTTCAAGAACAGAGAAGACAAGTTCTTAAGAGATATATGTATGTATAAATATGCAGCCTGATATTTTGAGAATCCCAGTAGAGCACACGAGACATAGAGGTTACAATCCCTACACTCTGCTCAGAAAATTTTGTATTCATTTATGCATAGTTTATTCAGATGAAGGGAAATCATCTTTCTTTCCCTCTTGGTCAAAGGTCATGTATCTCTGTCTCTGGATAATTCAGATTTACACCTTCATGCTTTTAAACTGAACAAATAGCTTGCTAGAACTTTCAGCAGCACCCTTTGTTAAGAATTGCTCTTGATGTTCTAGAAAAATATGGTAATGTATTGTTGCAAATGTAGAATGCTAATGGGCGAGAACGACTCCAACAGATAATGGAAATCAAACGCCTTAACAGGTTTTTGGTAGGGATAGAGAAAAGGAAAATTACCCTTTTTTTTTAATGAAACCATATCAAGATTAAAATCATTCTGATCAAATCCATCCACATTAATATGCTAATTTTTCCTCTGAAGGAGAACTACAGCAGGTTTCCCTTGATGACATTTCCATTATTCTGAATTGAATGTGGCCAGAAGCAGCTTTCAAACTCAAATGCAGCTTATGTATGCTGCATTGTCATTCCACCAGTAGCTTGACCCTACACTTGAACTCCACAGAAGTTTAAGACTTCAAAATATCAAAAAGTATACTGGCAAAATAATGAATTTTACATACCAGCTCCTCACTCTCCATTTTATTTCGTCTGGCTAGACAAAAACGTTCCCATATAGACAGGTCTAAGCCATTAGGCACGTGCTCAGGACTATCCAGTTCATCCATGGCTTTCATTAAAAGGGTAAGTGCATCTTTGTAATCTTCAGCTGAGCCTGAACAATCCCCATACGGGTTAGCTGTGTCTCGGAGCATTTCTCTCATTGGGGTCCTAGTGCACAAACACAGTACATAAGGTATCTACTTTTTATTTTCTGCATAAAAGAAGCTTCCAAACAACTAAGAACAAAGAACTAACAACATTTCATACTCTCAATCTCTTGCAAAGAGCAAATAGGTAAGACTGCACCTTACACAAAATGAGAATATATGTTTTCGAGACCTCATGATTATTTAGATTGCATTTAAAATAGATTGTGTGAGGTGAATAAGGAAATGTAAGTACTCAAAATAGCAATCATTAGTATGATAGGAAATCAACCACTGTTAACTATACAATAACAATCAGGCAGTTTATTGATTATCAGAATAACTTAGACTATTGAAATAAATAGCATTCTCATTCTTGACTCACAAGAAATATTAGTATTTAAACAGATGGAATTGGGGGATCTTACTTTGGTCGATGTTTGTAAAGTTGGAAAAGTTCATCAAGGAGATTGGCAGGTACATCAGCAAACTCCTTTGCAAAATCACATTCCAGATTCTAGGAGGGAAACAGACAGCTTTCTTGTTACCGTGATGATATTGTTAAAAAAGCACCAACCTGCCCATACCTTAGAAATACAGAGTATGGTGCTCTTCCAAGCGCTCCTAAGCATCACAGGAATCTGGACTATTTCATAAACTCTTCTATGCACACACTCTCCTTTCCTGCTTAATTTCAGTGATCAGCAAGTTGACCAGAACTTATCCCATGCTTACAGTGAAGTATGTTCTTCTCATTATCAAGACAGCACTAACTTTTTAATTTCTGAACTTCTTTGTGTTTGCTGGGAGTCTCACCTTCTCTTCAACTCTTGCATTTTCATAGGTGTCTGTGTAAGCCTCAATTTTATTTTTTGTACTCTGGATTGTTCTTGCAGTCTTGACCTGTAGCAAAACCAAAAGATTTCGGGAATGAAACTCGGCAATTGGAAGCACCAAATGGCCATTCATATACACTGATGCAGCTGACGCTTTCTTATTTCTAGAGAAAACTTTGTGAGCTGTTTGTACTAGCAATATAATGCCTTCTTCAGGAGGTTACTTGTAGATACTGGTAGAAGGTGAGCAGGTGTGCAATTAAACTAGTCCACTGCTTAAGAAAGTAAGGAATTTGTGTAAGAAATATCTTTTTAAACTTTGAATGTAAGGACCTATGTTGATACTTGTTTTTACTTGCACAGGGATTTCCTCTTCCTTTCATGTCATCACAAGTAAGACCAGTCCAAATTCTCAAATGCTGTTCAGTCGAGGGTTCTTCTTTAGAATGGTGTTTCCCTGTTGTCATGATACAGTTCTGCTACGTGTCAGGTTACTAAGCTCATCTGTTTTAACAATGCTGTTAAATGCTTATACTCTGCTGGGAAGACTGTTTTGTTGTATTTGACAGTTTGCATGGACCAAAAGATATACCAGTGGGAACATTTAGAAAATTTAAATAAAAAAGATGTATTTTGAAAAAGGTAAGCTGGTATACACTTGACCTCAGATAATTTTAAACCTAGTTCAGCTTATTCAGTGGCAGAGGCTGAACTGGAACCTACTTTGGAACCTCTCCCTGTAGCTCACATAGAAATGACTGCTTGCAGCTCCAAACACAGAGGTCTGTACAGGTCAAGTAGATCGGACATGGGGAGGCATTAGCGTATTATCTGTGGATTCGGGAACAGCTCCACAAAGACAAAGTAGGCAAATGGGATAATATTCTCCCAAGAGCCAGAACCAACCTGCAGACTACCACCACTAAGATCACCTGAGTCACACAAGTACTGGCAGGACACCGGAGTTGGAACTGTCACTCAAAATTATCACTGTGGGCAGTAAGCACTCGTATTGAAATCCAGATCTACTACTTGTGTTCTCCAGTTTTTTGTTGACTTGTATATGGTTTGACAGAGATGGGTAAACTCTTCAGGAGATTAAATTGGTTGATACGACTATAAACATTTTGTACTCTGTGGTATGTTCTGGTTCCGTAGTCAGATACTCACGTGCCACCTCTGTTTATGCTTTGAACTGGCAAACACAAGTCAGCATGGCCCTGGCCTACATTAGACACCTCAGTGAAAAATGTGATGGCATTGTACTTTCTTTTGTGCATCTTCCTGTCACAAAAGTATCATAATTGGTGCTTCCAGCTTGATACTGGATGCTAAAAGATATTATATATAGCAAACAAATAGCAGCATGCCCTTCTGAATGTATGGAGTTTTACCAAAGAACTCTGGATGAACCAAGATGAGTATCTATTAAAAAACGTATGTATTTATAATGTATGTCACCTGTACAAGTTGAAAAAAAATCAGTGACCCTGTAAATTGTCAGAAAATCATTTATGGCAAAATTTTGATTTGGAAGGAGCAGTCCTCACAAGAAACTATTGTATACACTTCTCCTAAGAACAGCATTCCAAATGATAACTTACTTTCTCTTTCTCCTTCTTCACAAGGAAATTACGAAGCCCAGCTTCTCTAGTGTCCAACTCTTCATCCAACAGTAAAGCATAAATGAGATTGACTATTTTGAGTTCTTCCTGTGAAATTATTGTAATAAAAAATGTTAACATACCTGCTGCACAGAGGCAGAGATGAAAAATTAATGTTCTCTGTGATACCTGATAGATGACCATCTCTAATTTCACTTTCCTTTCAGAGAGTTTGCACACAGTCTCATCAAAATTATGTGTGGTTTCCTGGATGGAAACTTCAAGTTTCTTCAATTCACTTTCTAGTGCCTGGGGAAGGGAAGGACAAGAGCAGCAACATTACGTCTACAGGAACAAAGAAGTTCTGATATAGTATACCAGATGCTGGAGAATGCACAATATGGAACTGTCTCCTTCAGTCAAAAGGCCCCCAAAATTGCTTGTTTGGAAGGAGAGTGCTGCCAGGCTACCAAGTTGTTCAAATACCACTTTGAAGGATAAATATAGTTGTATTATTTGTGTATAGCAACAGCAACTCTGGGAATGGAACTTGAAAAAAACATTTTGGGAATAGTGGTACATTTGTGAAGGGAAGTTATCTTTTCTCAGATATCACAAGTTTTTGCACATATTAATTGGTATAAGTAGAGATTGCCTTATTTTACTGTCTAAGCTAGGACTTATTTAATGTGCCACATGATCGTTGTTCTTCACTTGTTCTTCGTTTATTCTGTTTGTTAGTATTCATTTTTAGAAGTAGCTCCTGAGAAAGATCAGAAGCTTTGGTCATAAGCACTGTGAACAAAACCACTCCTTTTGTCATTTTAGTTTACCCTTCTATACTTTTCTTTTGCTTCATTCAGCTCCTTGACTTTTTTCTCGTGTTCTCTAAATATTTTCTTTTCTTCATCATTCCAAACATGCTCAGGCTTGGATATAAAAGGAGGTGGAGGAATATCCTGGAAGTAATAAAGAAAAATATACTTCAAAAGCAATATTAAGTCTCCATCAGCACACAAACTATAGCACGCATCAAATTTAATGAAAGTTATTTCTTAGTGGTGAGTAAGGTACAAGCCTTAAGTCTAAGTAACATATATATATGTATGTATGTATATACACCAGTAGTTTTGGTGTATATACACTGGGCTGTTCTCTCTTACTTTCTTACAGGAATTCACTACTGGATCTTGTAAAATACAAGTATTTTGTACTCAAACATAGTCAGTTCAAGATATAGAACATTTTCTGTTTCAGAACCCCAAATCTAAGTCCATACTAATGTATACTTCTAAGTGGAGTCCTAATTTTCCAAAACAGATCAATTCCAGGGAGAGTGCTTGGATCTTGGATACTTTTTCTGTGACATCCCTTCACATTCTTCCCTTCTTCTACTATCTATATTTGATGAGTTAATTGGAACACAGTATTTTTCTGTAAGATCACAGCCATGGATAATAGACCCTTCCCCCAGCAATACAGTAGTTGTAATAGTAATACTACATCATGTTCCTCTAGTATTCCACTATGATAGGGACAGGTGTTGATGGGTAAATCATATGCGGGCACGAGAATCTTGTGGTCTCTTTTGAGTCCAGTGTGTGGTATCTCATGGAGTCTTATCTAGGCATAATGCAATTCTACAGTTCTTTGACTTTCTTCTACCACTTAGGCTGGACATATTTGCTAGTTGAATTTCACATTTCCTTAAAAGCGCACAAGCTACCTAAATGATACGGCAGAAATGCAGCTCACCATTTTCAAGATGTCTTCCTTTTTGACTTCTAGCACTCCACCCATGATGTCATCAAGAGCACGCAGTCTTTCATTGTCCTAGGAATGACCACAAAATATATTATACTACACAAAATGAAGTGTAGTAATTGGAAGTTTGGGGAATGAAAACATAGGATTGTACTGTGTGTCACTAGTAGGTGATGCATGTCACATCTTCGGTGATGTGTGTGAAATACACTAAAAGTCTCAAAGTTTTTCTTCTGGTGGACAGATGCTCATATACCAAATAACTTACTAAAATGGCCATTCTGGCATTTTTGGAAAGGATACATAGGCCCGTTGTCAGGCTACGATGAAGGAAGTTGTAATGTCACTGTCTTACTGTGCATCTCTTTTGGGGCCAGAACCATCTTAGGCTTTTCACAAATGCATTTTAAAGGCAGAGGAAACCATTGTGATCATCTAGTCTGATCCCTGAAGAACAGAAGTTGCTCATTCAACAAACACATATCAAGCACAAAGCTCTTGATTGAGCAGTAGTATGCATTTAGAAATGTATCTAGTCCCCAGTCACCTGATATGGTATTTTTAATTGCCACTAAGCACATTTTTAAGAATTGTGAGCCTAACACTAAATCTTTCCTTCCCCCCACTGGTCTATGTAGTTCTGATTGTAAATGACAATAAGAGGGAAAAGGCATATATCATCATTACCTACCATTTAAAATTTATTCTCCCATACTACATTACTAGAATATTCCAGTGCAGCATTAACTAAATAAGCCTAACCAGAGACAAAGGCCTATTCAGTAAAAAGGATACTACTTTAAGTACCGTAGCAGCAAGGCGTCTTTCCATTTCAAGCTTAGCCAGAATTTCTGCTTTCTCTTTCTCTTGTTGAGTCAAGAATTTTTCAACTTTAATCTGAAGGAAGGAAATGAGGGTTCATATCAGGGTTCTTTTCTCCAAACGTAATCACATGTGGACTAAGGACATGTGGAAAGATAGTGTAATACTAATTCTTAATGCTTTTTATATCTTTGCTTTATCATAACATTCCTCAAGAAGAAAATTGTTCTTTCGAACAGCTCCAAAAGCTGTATTTAAAAATGCTAAAATACAAACCACCATAATTTTGTTGATATTAGTTGTGTTTTGCACACACCTTTTCTGACAGTGGAATAACACAGACTGGTGGGAGAGCAGAAAGAAGTGGGGAAAGACTGACCAAAAGAGCAGATGAGATCAGTGGAATATGTTGTATTAAGAAATATGGTGTTTCTTTATAAATTATCAATTGAATTTGTAAGTACAATACTACATATGCTTTAGTACCTCAATCTTTAGTTTGAAACTACTTAAGTTTCAAAATGGCAGTCAGAGAAAAGAGAGAGAAACTTTCATCCATGGAAATAATCCCTGGTGTGTACAAATCTTATAGTCAGGAACAGGGGGGATTTCTACCTCATTTGTGGGCAATTAAAAACTTTTAACAGCAATAAATTAAGATTGTATACATTTTATTCATTTCAGATTGACTTAAGAGCTTTCTCCCTAAAAAGGGAAGGGAAGCAAAAGAGTCAAAAAGATGATTTTAAGTACATAGACACATCTGTTTTAAGGCTTTTCAGTACTGATGCGTTGTCTGGAAATTAGAAGAATTAGAGAACTGTATTTGAGTGACTGAAAGAGAAAGATTTGTTTTTCAGACACCTCTGAATCCTGAACAGTGAGTGCTCGCTCTGGTATCTCATCATCTGTAAGAGCTGGCTCCCACACTTCCACCTGGAGGTCAAGTTGTGCCAAGATTTCTCGGATCCTCAGGTTTCTTTCTTTCACTTGTGCTATCTCCTGCTCCTTTTGTCGTGCAACTATGTCAAATTCCTTATTAAAAGCAGTTTTCACTTTGTAAATGATGTCCTGAAATACAAAAAAAAGGAAAAAGCAATGCTGCACAGGTCACATCCATCCATGATTACATGCCACTCCTCAAGCCATCAGAATCCTAAATCTGTGTATTTGTGTATGTGACAGGGAGATAAACTGGTAAAGCTCTTTTTTGAAAATCATAAGGGCAGAGTTCAAGCTTTGTTAAATGGAGGTTGGCAAATGATCAGTTTTTTCTTTTTTTTTCCCTAGAAATTTTTATTCCTTTTCTTCTACATATTTGCCATTTGACAAAGATTCTGAAAGAATCTGCCAAAACTATATAAAAAATTAGACTGCCTTCTATTTGCTGGTTTTTTGCACTCTTCGGCTGAAAGAAGAAAAGGCTTCAAAGAGAAAAAACACGTGACCTGTAAATCTAGAGGTTGCAAATCACAGGTGCAGGGAGGCCAAGTTAAGGATGTACCTTCCTGATTTTCAAGTGATGTAACCTACAGTTTCATGTGATTTTCTGTCTGACATATGTAAGTAAAGTGTGTCCATTAAATAAACAAACATTGGAAACTAGTTTTTATAAAACACCTGAGACCTTAGAATGATTTTAAAAACATATATTCTTAGTGGATAAATTCTTCCTTTATCCTAAATAATTGATCTCACCAAAGAAAAGTAGACTATTAGGAGAGAAAACCATGTGTCTCTCCTACTGTGTCAATTTACTAAAATGAAACATGAAAAGTATTTCAGTTCTATCATTAAACTTCACATTTTGAGATACTTAGCTGTTTGCAATTTGAATTACAACAAATATTTGTGTCCATTATTATGTCATTGATTTCTAATAAAATAATAATAATTAGTTAGGATGTAATAAGGCAGGGTGGCAGATAAGGTACAACGTTGCTGGGAGAAAAAAGGCTGTGCTCAATATCTAGACAGCCATCTAGCTCTCAGCAAGTTTGCTGCATTGGCCAAGAACACTGAAGATATATCTACACTTAAATATATAATTTGTGTCTTTAAAGCCATACAGTAGAAAGACCTTGTTACAGTCAAGCTTACATCTCAAAGTGCTCCTTGTTGTTTCTTCCCCATCTACTTTAAACACACAAGTGTATCTGCTAGATTTTATGTATTACAATGCATAATCATTAAGCTCTGCTACCATTTACAGCCCTAAAGAGCTCTGAGGAGGCAATGCTTTATAGTATTTTAACTTCTGCCCTTGTAGATCATCTTCATAAGAAGCCTATTTGTAGCACGTTTACTACTTAATAAACTGGCCAGGGTAAGAGAAGTAAGAGATTCTGATAGTAATAAATAACAAACAACAGAAACACTGAAGACTCCAAATGAGGGGATGGTAAGACTGGAGAGAAAGGAAATGGTGTGAGGATCCAGCTGATCTTTCATTCAGCAGCAAATAATAAGGAGAGGTCATGTTTTCACAGGGTGTGCTGACACGTGCAAGCTAGCTTTGGCTACAAACTCTTAAACTGAAGCACCAGTGGGCAAACGCAAATACCCTCAAACTGGGTAGCCAATTTAATAAAAATGTTTTTCTTCCAGACCTGAGCTGGCAAATCCACATGGTGCTCTACTGCACTATGTGCATTTATCAGCGTTCATCTCAGTGCAGAGACCTGTGCAACTCTCCATTGTATAGGGTCAGTATGTCCAAAATCTAACAGTGGCTGTGACTGCTGTGAGAACCGACAGATACAACAGTGTCACTGCAGTAATACAAAGTTAAGAAGACATCACCTTCAATAATACTATCTGACTGACTTTCTGCTCCCTGGTGTGCAAGTCCCATTGATGGTGTAGGATAGATGTGTCTCCACCATACTGAGAGCTCAGACTTCCAATCAGGGAGTAAGATGTACTGTCATCAGCCATTACATCTTCTGCCTTCTCTCCTTCTTCCTTGGATAATACAGTCTCAGACTCAGTGTCAAGATTTTTCTTCTGAACCTGAATATCACAAACATGATAACTGTGTTAATTTTGTACATGTATGAAAATATTCTGGAGGTTATATTCTGCAATTAAGCTCAGTGATCAAAATAATACAAGTTTAAATGATCTTATCTGGACTATTTGCTCCATGTGTGGGTTCCACAGTATAAGAAAGACATGGGCATACTGGAGCAAGTCCAGTGATAGACCACTAATACAATTAAGGGTTTGAAGCATCTAACATGCGAGCACAAGCTGAGAGAGCTGAAATTGTTTAGCTTCAAGAAGGAGAAGGCTTGGGAGGATCTTAGTAATGCATATAAAAACCTGATGGTGGGGAGTATGGACAACAGAACCAGAGTTTTCTCAGTGGTGCTCAGCGACAGATTGAGAGGAAATGGGTATACATTGAAATACAGGACATCCAAGTTAAACACAATGAGGCACTTTTCCTTTGAGGGTTGTCAAACATAAGAAGAGGTGGCCCATAGAGGTTACGGAATCTTCCATCCTTGGAGATATTCCAAACCTGACTGGACACAGCCCTGAGTAGAAGACTGGACTAGATGACTTCCAAAGGGCTCTTCTAACCTCAGTTATTCTGTGATTCTTTAATACTAATACATTTGTTCTGAGTAAAACCACAACATTTCATCTTTATTTATTGTTTTAAATTAATTTTTGGACAATTTCTACAACAAGAAAATGAACCTTAGAAATGTAACTACGTAAAGAAGTGTTAAGATGCCAACTCAGGACATCCTGATCTGAAATGCCTTTATGCAGTACTTCAAAGAGATTGTACCTCAAGGCCAGCTGTCTCAATCTTCTTTAACTGGAGAACTTTCTCCAAAGTTTCCAGCTCTTCTTCACTACGTTCCTTCAGTGGATAATTCTTTACTTCACAAGCCATATGGAAGCACTGTTCAAATTTAAAAATACCCCAAAGTAAAACATTCTTCAGAATGCATCTATCAATTCATTTGTTCAATACCTGAGTACTAAACTGTTATAAAATCAGGAATAAAACTGAGGATCAATTAATATAGACAATGTAGTAAAAATACAGACATAAGACAAAAGCTACTTGCCTTTTTGATAGTGAAAATGGTAAAACGGTTGGTTTAAAATCTGCTTTTTTCTTTCTTTTTTTTTTTCTTTGAATAATCTATGGATACAGCCTCTTTATCCACAGAATTCACTCAGAACTAGATTTTTTGTAAAATGGCTTGGTCTTTCACCACCCTTGAGATAATCCGGTATCATCAGTTTGACTAGTCTCCCTCTCTTTAAAATAGGCAAAATCAGGGTTAGATTTTGCCCTTATGTTCTGTATAGCAGAAGTCATACTGACTGCACACAGAAAATATTTACCTCTCCTTTTAACAACACTACATAAAGATATTCTCTGAGATCAAGGGATTAAGGAGTTGCTCATTTGCTTATCAGCACCTTTATCCACCCTAGAAGGTAAAATCAGCCAGGCTCAGACAAAGTGAAACAATGAAAGATTTGCATGAGCCCTAGGAAGAAGTAAGCTTTTTCCCATACCATAAGCAGATCAGAAATGTGTTATACTTCTACTTATTTTGTCTCTGTACCTTAAGGAATCAATAAACTACTGCAGAAAATTAATTAGAAAGCAGAGATTACCTTAACTGCACGTCCTTTTACACACATAGCATCCCAGCACTCACGCTTGATGACATCCTGCAAATAGCGGTTGGCTAAATTCTCCATCTCAATCTCCTTCCTCACCTTTCAAGATACAGAAGAGAAAATTACAAGATGTGGTGCAAAATAACAAGATATGGGCAATTTGTACTGAATTATTGAAAGAAACCTAACAGATGAAATGAATTACCAATATTTCATCATCTTAGACTACTGCAGCTATCTTCTCCAAAAACTATATTGCATACTACTGAAAGGCATCATTTTATATGTGAAGAAAAGCATTCTAGAACTTAAGCAACGTGCCCAAGGCCACAGTGTCAGATTTATAGTTTCTGGCATAGATCATATGCCATTTGGCAATGTCTGCATCAGCAGCTTCACTGCTTCAAAAAGTGACTTTAAATACTTTTAAGTTTTTCTGCTTCTCAGCAGTGAACAGCAACTTTTTGATCATCCTCTGTTCTACAATCATGCTTTCCCCTTTACACTGCTAGTTTTAAAATGTTCTCCCTCCATTGTCATACCCTGGCCACTTCTTGTTCAGCCTCTGCTTGCGCTCTTTCCTGTTCTTCTACATCCAGGTTGAACTCCTGCTGCTCCAGTTTCTCAATGTCTGGCACTTGTTCGTTTTCACGTATCATTTTCTGAATCTGTTTTTTTTTTTTTTTTAAGTAAGTATAAGGAATAAAAATTAATTTGAATGTGAATAGAGGAAATGCTAGCACTATAGAACTTGATATCAGAGAAAATTATTTTAATTGCCTCCACTTTTAACTGCTTCATGGTAATTGGTAGAATGTGCTGCCTGTAGCTAGTGACAGAGAATACTATGTGAATACACTTAATCTTTCTCTTAAAGTTGGTTTGGATGTTATATATGAAGTTGTATATATTTCTAAGAGCCTGTAGTACACAATTCTTTACTCTCTGTTTTTGAGAACTTTATTAAGTTGTTATCACTTTATTAAGTTGTTATCTATCTCATGCAGTTCAACAAAGGGAACTATAAATTCCTGCACCTAGTTCTGAGCACTTTATTGAGTTGTTATCACTTTATTAAGTTGTTATCTATCTTCTAGAGTCCAACAAAGGGAAGTTTCAAAATCCTGCACCTGGGTAGGAACAGCCCCATGCACCAGGACATGCCGGGTGCTGAGCAACTGGAAAACAACTTTTCAGAAAAGTAGCTGGGGGTCCTGGTGGACATCAAGTTGAACATGAGCCAGCAACGTGCCCTTGCGGGGAAAAAAGGCTAATGGCATCCTGAGCTGTATTGGGAGTGTTGCTGGCAGGCTGATGGAGGTGAGAGGCATGGAAGTACTGGAGAGAGTCCAGTGAAGGTGATGAAGGGCCTGGAGCATCTCTCATATGAGGAAAGGCTGATAGAACTGAGACTGTTCAGCCTAAAAAAGAAATGGCTTGGGCGGAATCTCATCAACATATACAAACAAAAACGTCTCTTTAGCTTGGAGAAGAGGAGGCTGAGGGGTGACCTCATCAATGCTTATAAATACGTAAAAGGCGAGTGTCAGGAGGATGGAGCCAGACTCCTCTCAGTGACATCCAAAGACAGGACATGGGGCAACGGGTGCAAGCTGGAGCATAGGAGATTCCACATTAACATAAGGAAAAACTTTTTCACTCTGAGGGTGACAGAGCACTGGAACAGGCTGCCCAGAGAGGTTGTGGAGTCTCCTTCACTGGAGACATTCAAAACCTGCCTGGACACGTTCCTGTGCAACCTACTCCAGGTGGTCCTGCTCTGGCAGGGAGGTTGGACTAGATGATCTTTTGAAGTCCCTTCCAACCCCTAACATTCTGTGATTCTGTGAAATACCTGAAGGGAGGGTGCTAAGAGGGCAGAGCCAAGCTCTTTTCAGTGGTGCCAAGTGACAGGACTAGAAGCAATGGGCACAAACTGAAACAAGAGGTTCTGCTTAAATATCAGGAAACACTTTTTAACTGTGAGGTTGACTGAGCACTGGAACAGGTTGCCCAGAGAGCTCATGGAGTCTCCATGCTTGGAGATAATAAAAAGCTGTCTGGACATGGTCCCGGGCAGACTGCTCTAAGTGAACCTCTGCCTTATCTTCTTGCAGATAGTTGTTTTTATGGAAGGAAATGGAAAAGGAGAGGACAGTAGTTTCTATAATGGAAGGTTGTTAGACAGGCAGAAACTAGCTTGCTGAGGGGATAGACTGCTCAAGGTATAAGGGTGGTACAAAATATTTATTTGGAGGAAAGGAAACTGAGAACAAGACAGTAGTTCCTGGCAGGTTCAATGTATAGTCCCTGAAGAAGCACAACTCTTTATTACCTCTCTGCTCAGAGTTTATGACAAAAATTTAACTGAGCACTAGAGCTGATAGCCATAAAGGAAATGTACTTGTAAATAAAACTGGTAAATTGAGACACTACCCTTGCAAGAAACTCACAGTTTTACGCAGCTTTTTAATTCCCATTTGCAGCTCTTTCTTCTGGTTAGCAAACCTCTGAGTCTCTTCTCTAATGACCTGACATACAAAAAATATATTGTTGAAAGACAAAAATACACAAGAAGACAAAAAGGATTGAAATAATCTAAAGTAACATCATCTGTACAGAAAACAAAACTCCACAGGGATTAATAATTGAAACAGACATAATCCTAATTCAATACGATGATTCTTAGAACTGCTCAATAGAAAAAAGATTGTACAACCAGGTCATGTTGTAAACTGGTTGTACAGCAATAGAGCTTAAAAGAAAGCAAATATTAAAGAAAGAAGTAATTACAAGTGCAATGATTACAGACACAATGAACTGCATAAAGCTTGCTGCCAGAATTTAAGTGTTTTATATTCCTTAGATTTTCCATTTCCAGTGGGATATTTAAAGACACAAGTAAACTAGTACCTGTTACTCATTCTGGAATTTGTGAAATTTTCTTTACCCCTACAGCTTTGCCCATCCATCTCTTAGGGAATATTTTGCAATTAGCCTACACCTCTGGAATTTGCTTTCAAAAGTGTACAACTTTAAGTAGGATGATGGCTATTGATTGAAAGGAAGTGGTGTATCACTCTGACATTCGGTGGACTCCATCCTCTAATAGTCAGATACAAGTCTCTTAGGACATTAATGAGCAGCTTAAAACAACCTAGGACCACACTGCTGCCCTTCAACCTTTGCTTCTCATCACCTGTCCCTAGCTGATATTAATAGCATGTGACACTCGTGTATGCAGAGTCACATGGATTTGCCAAAAAGTCCCAGTAGAGACACCAAAGCATGAGTGCCAGCATCAAAGCAGAAACAGGAATGTATGTCTGGGAGAGCGACGGAGAAGACACCACTTTTAGTGGCAGTATGTCTTAGACTGACCTGAGCCACTTGTGAAACTGCTTCATAATTTGGAAAGTCACTCCTGAGATCACCCAGGAAGCAATGATATTTTACTTTGTCCTATCACTGAACCTCGACAGCTGGCCAAAATACATCTCTGGCTCATATCAGAAAGAACCTTCTAGCATCCATAAATTAATATTTCTGGGAAAAAATAATCTACGCTAACATTAACATAGCAGTTTCGAGTCTCATAAAGTGCAAAATCTCCTCTCTGTAGACAGTTAGATCTTTGATGTACTTTTACTTATAAAAAACTGCAGTTACATAACACACTTATCTCAACCTTAACCTGAAATAAACCTCAGGGGTTTTGCAATTAATGTCATGTTGTTGAGTATTGATTTATCAGCACTGTAGAATTTGTTATTCTGGCCCTTGGGAAGAAGAGAGCACTTGCTTGGTTTCTGGTAATAATCTTCTGTGCAACTTTTTGACATTTAGAAGAAAAAAGTCTTTATAAGTTTCTAAAGGAAGCCAATTTCTCTGGCAATTTTTTTTTTTTTTTTAGTTTACTCCTTGTGTGTAAGTAGTCTTTCGGTCTTTAGAGCTCCTATTGTGCTAGGTACCTTCTCTGCTGTGTTTATAACCTTGACCCAGGATTTCTAAAAGTCTAGATTGCAATGCCTCAAAGAGAGGTCCAAATGTCAGAGAAGCTTTAGAAAATAGAATCCTTTGGAACATATAATTTGGCACCCCAAATCACTACTGACTATTGAAAACTCTTGGCTTTGATTAATACTTGTTCTATGAAAGTACCTTCTTTATTTTCTGACCAATCCATGTCATGTCATTGGTACTGGCTGAATACAAACTGGTGACATTTCCATCTTCTTCTGTCACCTCTACACTGGAAGATTTAAGTGGCACCTCCTGAAATTAAGGATATAAATATCCATCTCAGGTACTTAGAGAGAATGAGAGACAGAAATGAAAGAAAAAATGGACTCACATTAGAAGCACCACCACCAAATTCCAGAGAGTTACAACATTTTCATTCCCTAACCAGTCCCCAGATCTGATCCTGCAAACCCTTGCTCTTATGCAAAGCCTTTCGGCTCAAACAGGCTGACTGTACTAAGATCTGTAATCACTGCTTTGCTTGATTTCAACAGAAAGAAACACGACTAGGAGCACACAATGTAGAGCAGTAACATCACACTGGGAATGACACATAACTTCACACAGGAGTAACTGACTTTCATCGAGTTTTCTGTGGCTGAAGAAACCAAGTGAAATTGAAGATGTAAATGTCGTCTTCCCATAACTATTCCATTTCCTTGGTAATACTATTCCACAAATTAATAATTAAGCATATTCAGCCTATCCTCAGGGGTATTCTTCTACTTTTACGAAAGGATTAGATTTTGTTTTGAGGATGGTTTTCATCATGTGTAATTTTAGGACAACAATCAATATTTTTTTTTCACCATAAAAATAAAGAAAACACCTTAAATTTCTCTTCTGGAAATGATCTTGATGTGGATTCTGGGGCAAACTGCCATTCTGCCATAGATTTTAAAACAACATTTTCGTTCGAAGTAGACTTGTTCAGTATAGCAAGAAGAGATTGCCAGTGAAAAGCAGCTTCTTTAACTTCAATTGCCTTTATCTTCCTAGTAGACAGAAAGGGAACTGATGTATTTTTTGTGTATTATGGAAAAGATGAAGTATTAAATATTCTTTATAACACAATAATTAAATTGTTTAAAAACACCTATTCAATATTTTTATATATAATTCAATATTGTTTGAGGTCTAGAATTGCATAATTAAGTGAAGTTTCCACAGCATTAGAAATTCTGAAAGATGGATTACCCAGATTGCTCTGGCAGAGTCATCTTTAATCTATGCATCTACCTGAAGATTTGTTATACCACAAAAAAGCTGTAATTTTGAGTGTCTCTTACTCCTAATGTCTGCTAAGAGCTCTCTATAGCCACAGTTGAATTCCCACTAACGCTGTGATGTCTCCTAATCGCTGAGTTAAAATAGCATCTCATGAGATTACATCCCTGTCATCCCCAGAGAGCCCCTTCCTGATGGTTTGAGCGCGATAAGAAGCTCACTATGGGTAATACTTATCAGAAGATACTCCTCTATCTTGTATTGCAACCATACCAGAAGTAGAAGACTTTTCATGAGCTACAGAGGCTGCCTCTAAAGATGAGAGGCAGGATTTTATTTCTATCCAATACTTCTCCTTACTTTGAGACTAATAAAAGGGAAGTCTAGAATCACAGGGAGATGCAAAAAATTAGTGTGTCAGGATACAAGAATTTACATCACCAATGTTGGTCTGCCACTACATACATACTTCCATTTCAGACACACTAGGGCACCATCAGTTTCGCCATTAACGAGGATGAATTTGCCATCCAGTGAAAATACCACGGATCTGATTCCCCCTCCTTGATATGACTGACAATGCTTTTGAGCAAGTATATCCTAGAAAAGTCATAGAAGCAGTATCAGCAAATACATTTTTCTAATTGAATATGTCTGTAAATTATGCCTCTTTATTTTTAGATAAAAGTCAATCCAAAATGTCAATACAAAGTAAATAAAAGACTAGGATTTATGAGTTTAAAATTTTTGTCTACAGATGGGGCAAGTTTGTAGTATATTGATTTTACAGGAGAAAAAGAAGAATAGTAAAATTATCTACTGGAAGACTTACTGGAGAAGAAAGTAAGTAGTTTGCATGATCATATACACATTCATTATAAAAACAATTGTACTCTATAATGCTACATCAGTTCATGTTCAACATAAATTTCCCTAGAACACCTTATATTCAAGTGAAGAAAAGCTTATAGCGACAGAAAGTCACCTTCACACCTCTTTCTCATGTAAACCAAACAAAGCCTGTGCCTGGATGCCTACCTACCATAGTAAAAGTATGATAGATGAACAAAACACCATCCTTTGCTGCTGATGCCAGCCACCGGCTGTTGGGTGATAAACAGAGGAAACCTGATCCAAATTGATTGCTAGGAGTCCTCTTTTCTGACAAAAATACTGATGGAGATTCCAACATATTCTGCCAAACAAACAAAATGTTAGCAGCAGTTCAGATGATGGAAATATCTATGCCATGTTGAGAGGACTAATGAGAGCTTTGTGGCTTATCCCATGTGTTGCAATTTAAAATGTTGTTGGATTACTGAGCTCAGGAAGCAGGACCATCACTACGCTGCTGATTTGCCTCTCATCTCTTCAGAAGGGTCTGTATTCATTATATTTGGACCTGGAGTTTCTTGGCCCGGAAAGTATGGGACTTGTCAAGGAGGAATGATCACCTTCGGAATTCACCTTCTTGCCTGACCTCTTAAACTGAGGGAGACCTATGAGGTGCAGAGAGCTCCAGTTCATCAGCAGGCAATGACAGTGGCTTCCTGAAGCCCCCCACTGCTTCATAGCGAGGCAGGGCTGGGCTGGGTTTGCAGCTGTGTCTTAGAGTCATGGGCTCACATTGGCTCAGGTCCTTCAATAGGTAGACATCCAGGTTACTCAGCAGACCGCACGAAAGCACAGCCCCAATACAGAAGCTCCATGTGAAGTGCCTGCAAGCTGTATGAGTTTTAAGAACCACTATTTAGCTTTCTCTGTAACAGAACAAGGAGATTGCTTTTGCCAGGTTTCTGAGCAGGTGGTAGGATACTGAAAGTTGATGGTTATGGATGGAGTAGGTATTTTTAGTGTAGGGAGGATTTCTTTAAGATAATATCCTGCTATATTCACTTCATCTACAGCCTTTGTTCACTGGTATTTAACCATCACCCAAAATAAAGCAGCTTCAGAGAATTACCTCTTCAGAGAGATGGTATTTACAGATGAAAGGTGCACAGGTACAGTAGCCATACACAATGTTATCCTTCAATCTGACTGCTGAGCTCAAAGGGTAATCCAGATCATATTGCCCCTTTTTAATGGCACTAGCATTAAGCATTCCTTGCTCATTAACATACTTGTCATTATCTAAAAGATTGAAAAAAAAGAAACAGGGAGGAAGAGACATCACTATCACTAATGCAGGTGCTTCACCTATCAAATAATTTCAAAAACCAATCTCAGCAAGGAGTGACCATGATGTGTTTTCAAAGAGGAGACTGGGAATTAAGATACCTACTTTTAACACTTAGTGGGTTGTGCTGATGTAGCACACTGCAGTGAAGCAGAAAGACAGCTCTACTAGCTCTAAGAAGTACTAGAAACGGTTTCACCACAGTGATGTGACAATTTGTATACACTAATTTACCCTGCTTCTTAGGTATTATGTAAGCAGTGCTAATTGGTTTGCATGGAGGTTCATGTCATCATTGCCTTCACCTAGAACTTGTTTAGGCATCTCTGTCATGAAGTACACACAGCCTGGGTGGTATTGGTTAAAATACTAAAGTTTAAGGCCTTTTATTCTTTTTTGGTTCCTTAATTTGAGCTTTAAAGAGACATCTAAAATTAAGACTGATGCAATAACTGTAGATCTTCAGCAACTATGAAAATCAAGCCCCATTTTATAAGTCTAACAATAGGCACAAAAAGAAGCCAAACATCAGTGAGTATTTTAAAAAAATACTAACTTCAGTGAAAACTACTTTTTAAAAACTTGGTAAATAGTAAGGCCTTTTAAAAATTAACTGTAAATAACTAGAACATCTAACACTAGGCTTACCAAGAGTTCTACAGAAGTTTTCTTCACAAAAAGGCTTTGTAGTAATTCAATTGCATATAATGTGAGTAAAATGATATAAAAATAGAATGATGTTAATAACGAACACAGGCTGCTTTTTGCTGTGATGTGATAGATAGAAGACATCAGTGAAACCTCAAACTGTATTGACTTGGCAATTCTTCGGTGTAAGAGATGTAAAACTGGAAGCGCATGGCGCCACTGCCAACTAAGCCTGTCCTGTGCTGGACAACATTAGCCTGCACTGTGCCTTAGCTCAGTTAATGCATTTAAGCCCTTTCATGACAACTGAATTAGTTTCCCAGCTGATTTCAGAAAGTGCTCCAAATCAATGCATTCCTAGAATATCAGTTTTAGATATTCCTGTAATATCAGACACAATTAACAGTTCTGTGATCACTCATGACACTCAGGTCCATTTTTTCTTGCTTCTAGTTGTCCTGGTTTCAGCTCGAATAATGTTAGTTTTCTTCCCAGTATCTGTTACAGTGCTGTGTTTTGGATTTAGGATGAGAATAATGTTGGTAACACACTGGTGTTTTAGTTGTGGCTAAGCAGTGTTTACACTAAGTCAAGGACTCTTCAGCTTTTCACACTGCCCTGGCAGCGGAGGCTGGGAGTGCACAAGAAGCTGGGAGGGGACGCAGCCAGGACAGCTGATCCAAACAAGCCAAAGGAGTATTCCATACCATATGATGTCATGCCCAGTATATAAACTGGGGGGAGCTGGCTGGGGGACACCGTGGCTTGGTGACTGGCTGGGCATCAGTCAGTAGGTGGTGAGCAACTGTATTGTGCATTACTTGTTTTGTATATTCTGTTGTTGTTATTTTTCCCTTCCCTTTCTGTCCTGTTAAACTGTCCTTATCTCAACCCATGAGCTTTATTTTTTTTTTTCCAATTCTCTCCCCCATCCCACAGAGTGGGGGCGGGAAGTAAGCGGCTGTGTGGTGCTTAATTGCCGGCTGGGGTTAAACCATGACAGTAGTACTTCTAAAATGCTATGATGCTATAGCTGTGTCCTGAATGACACAAACAAATTACTGAGTTGTTTTACAGTTGAGGATGGCATATATATAAAAAAAAAAATCATGAGCACTATTTGAGAATTTAGCATGGGTTATCCAATTTAGTGAAAGATTAACAGGTTCCCTTCATTTTACTTCCAGATTACAGAGATTCCAACTGTGATGTCCCAACATGTTTACTGCACATTGCAGATACACAGGGCCAGATTTCCAGAAGGTGAATGGAGATATGCCGTTCTTAAGTCTCCTTAATTCTCCCCTTTTTCTCACAGTGCCATTTTTTTGACAGAATGTTTTTCTTCTCTTATTGGGCTATCTCAATCTCTTATTGGGATATAAGTTTAAACACAGTGGATGTTTTCCTTGGTGCTTTTATATAGAAAAGCTATACCAAAGACAGGGAATCATTATTTTTTGAGGCACATCAACGTTTAACCTTTTTCCTAGTGAACTATTATATACCTATAACAATTCATTGAAGAAGCTGGTGGGATTGATTCCAATTTGAATGCCTGATATGCTAGTCTGCATACGGGTGATGCCAAGCCCAAGGCCTTTTTGTGGCTGGCTTTCGGCATTGCCCACACAGTAGTACTAATAATAACAAGAGTAACAACAACAACCACAACCAGTAGTAGTTAAGTGGTGGCTTTGTGATTCTGCAAGTGAATTAATTCTCTCCTTCCTTCCTTGGCTTTCCTTCAAAATATCACAGTCTTTCTGCTGAAATGACTCAGATGACTAAAAGTCTACAGACTGCTGTGTGAGAAATGGCATCCTCAGAGAACGTGCAGATGAGATGAAGAGATAAAGATTGTTAGTATTTTCTGTTAAGGGATGGCAATAATAGGTTCTTGCCTTAGAAAAATATCACCTAGTATATATTTCAATTCTTACCTGTTGTGAGTGCTGAAGATAGACAAAAAATTTCCAGTCTTGCTCGCTGGACCTCTGCTACATGAAGAAGTACCACTACTTCAACTAAGTCATTCTTGAAGTCAGAAACTACAGAAAGATCCAGCACTTCATCTGCCAGCACTGAAGGAGGTAGGAAACACCAATGCAAACCGTTACTGAAACACGGTAACTTGTTTTTACTGAAATATCATGTGAAACAAAATGAGATCCATGTTCGGAATACAATTCAGCTCAACCACACAGTTTTGAACTTCAGAAAGTGCTGCATGCACACAACTTCACCTTGAGGTATTGGGTGCTGAGAGTGCTAAGCACCAGCGTGTAATTAGTACATGAAACATTCAAATCTGAGTTTACATCCAGCTTGAATTGTAGCAATTTTGCGGCTGTCTGCTGATAACTGCCAGATAAAGCACAGAAAAGACCTCCTCTCAGAAGGCAGAGAGACAATGAGAACACAATCAGGCAAATTCTGAAAATTATCTAAGGAGATACAATTCTGTATCTGTCAAACCAATTAAAATGATAAAATAAAGTAATAAAATAAAAACACTTTATACTTAAAATTATGATGAAGAACTATATGCATAGATGTGATCTGTAACTATAATGTTATTGGAATTGAGAGACTGCATAAACAAATCTACAAATTTCAGAATTTTTTTGAGTTAAAATTCCATCATTTTTTATTCTTCGGTATCAGCCATCAAAGCTGACAATTCCAGCATTCCCAATTTAAAGATTTCTGGGTGGACCCTTGTAACAGGAGATTGCACCCAGCTATCATGACCTATTTTTTTTAGTCTAAATTCTCATATGGCAAGCCACGAAGGTCGTTACGTTCTTTGCCAGCACTATTACTTTTGAGCCAGAGTTGTGATCAGTTGATGAGTTAATCTATTCTCTTCCCTGTGACTTATATGTGCCCTGGAAGAAAAGCAACATTGGTGCATTTGCTAACTAAAATTACAGAGGGGAAAAAAAAAAAAAAAAGATTGGCCAGGACAAAATATGGTTGGGAAATAGGTAGGAAGAATATGTTTAGTCCCCCAAAAAAATAAGTAGGATGAAGGAGAGTGGCCTAGTCTGACCAGCAAGTATACAGCAAATAGTGAAAACACAATGTAATTAATGTTGTTACATATATTACCTACATATCCAAGAACTTGGAATAATTTTGAAGGTCGGGCATCTAGAATAAAGATATGTCCTTCTGTAGCTCTAGCGATGAGGAACTGGCCACTCTGATCATAACTAGGTCAAATATAAATCCAAGTAGAAAAGAGTTCAATATAGTCAATAAAAAGAGTCAAATAATTCCACTCTCATAACTCTGCTGACTTCACTGGGGGCACAAATGTAACTCAAATTTCAGCTTCTAGGTTTACAGGGTTAGGGCCTGATACAAAGCCCAGTGCTGTGAGTGCAATTTCTAATTGAGTGGGTGGTCGATCTAAAGCTAATGATACTCCATAGCTGTCTATGTTAACAACTTTATTAAATCTTTCTTTGAAGTTTGCTTCTTTAAAAATAAAACTACTATACAGCTTTTGATATTAGTTTGAATAAACATGTGCTTGTTTGCATTGATCTGACTCTGAGTAAGTTGCTTTCTGTACCTATTTGTAATGAATTTTCTTAGGTAACTGTGAGAAGATACCACATCAGCCTCCAAATAAGAGGCAGATTTATATTAAACAGTTCAAAATACATTCTATTTTTTAAAAAGTAGAAGTAAAATACTCTCAGCTTTTTCAATAATTGAAAAAAACCACCCTCAACAACCAAACAAAAAAAGCCTTTTAGATCACTTGAGCTAATTACAAAAGGACTGGTAAATTCCACAACTGTAAGCAAATGAGTAATTAACAAGGCTAATAAAAATCCACCATATAAGAAGGGACGATCAAAAGGCTTAAACTTAACTTCACAAAACCTCAAATTTATATTCAGTGAGAAATAACCCTCTAAATTCAGACACATGGAGCTGTGCATAATTACTGCATAGAGTGATCTGTCAGAAAGGATCTTATACATCAGTATCTTCAGTGCTTGGTTAAACTTTCAAGTACAGGTTTATTATATTTCTCTCATGTAAGTCCTGCTACTAATCCTCTTGCAAGCAATTCAGAATAAGTTGGGAAAAAATGAAGCTGTTAAAATATTTTACTTTGTTATTTTTAGAATAAAAACTTAAATTTTTCGTTCAGCTAACAGCATTACTCAAGCAACAAATTGACAATATTCCTGCCCTTGTTACTACATACTTACTGCAAAGACATCACTGGAAATTTGGAAAGAAAAATTCTGTGAACAACCCGTGGAGCTTCAACTTTGGTAACATCAAGGAAATAGATTTGACCTCCTTTGGTCCCTACAGCAACACTGTTGGAGGAGGGACAGCAAGCCACAGCAGTTGCCTAGTTGAGAAGTAAAAGATACTTAACAGTTCCATATCTTTTTACATATTATGCTATATGTTAGTATGCAATTTCTTTTACCATTTAAAAGTCCATAAAATTTGGAGAAGAAACTCCAAGTGGTTTATCTAAAAACTTTTTTTAATGAAGATTTTAGAGACATCATAAGAATTTTACCCATGCTCTGTAACTACATATCAAAAGCTAATTCTGTGATCCTCAGAAAAAAAATATTATAGGCACCATCCAGATTTTAAGTGAAAGAAGTTCCACCTAAAGAAAACACTGAGGCGCTGTTATGTGTACAGTTGCTATAGAAATGGATTTTTTTTCTTAGTATGTCAGATTTCAGGGGTTTAATGCATCTTATATCAGGATAAAGCATTAACATTTTGAAATACTTTTACCAACTCAGTTCTTAAAACCTGTTTTTCAGATCAGTCCAGGCATTTTGTTTTTATACACTTGAAACTTTTCTTTCAGTTCTGAAAACTGAAAGAAAACAGAAATCTAATAGAATAATATCATAAAAAATTAGATTGTCATTTACAAATATGTACTTAAAGACACAACACTAGGACATTGGGTTGAAAAGTTTCCTCTGCTTTATGGCCAAGTTAAATACATGATTAGTTCAAGGAAACATTCTGAAAGATAATATTTTTTAAATCTCTTTCATAGGTTATTCCAATACACTACTGAGCTTTCCTCAGCACTGGTTGATCCAAATCTGTGGAATATTGTGCTATGAGTGGAAAAATATTAAAGAAAATTTTAAGTATCAGTCACTAGATAAGCTCTTTGTTACATGTACCTCAATATCAAGGTTTAGCTTGCTGAGGCAAGTTCCGTCTTCCAGGAACCAAACTTGTACTTCACCTGAAATTGTTACAGACTGTTGAACAGAGAAAAACATAGTCAAAAGAGGGTGGAAGTGACGAGTGATGTCCTATAGATCTCCTATAGAGAGATGTCTGAGCAGAGCAGATCAAGGGTTACTAGTTTTGCCCAGAATTATCTTGCTTTTCCTCCAAGTCCAGTTGCTGCAAGGTACACCTGCCTAAGGAAAACATTTAACAATTTTTGTGAATTGCTGCAACTACGGGAATGGTCTTTAAGCAGAAGGAGACAATCCAGGGCAAAACATGTAAGCCTGATCAATATCAGCACTCCCACCATTCAGCCAGCAATAGAAAAACCTGTTTATAATTTTCTTTGCATAGGAAAGGCCTTGAGGAGAGGTCTTGTCTTCTCACATGAAAAATGATGCATATCATAATGGTGCTTGAGTTCTTTTTATATCCAGTCAATTTTGTAATTCCACAGTAAAATATGGCTAGAGATCAGTCAACCCTCACATTACTCATTCAAAGTCACGCAAAATTTATCATTCCCATGCTAATGACAAACAAATAGATTCAGCAGACCTAATTGATTAAGACCCCAGAGTTCCTAGGCTGGCTACTTGAAGAGTTCATGGCCTGGAGATGAATCAGACTTGCTGGCAAGAATATATGTCTTGCAGGTGTCAAAGACATAGGAGGAAAGCAAGGAGTTTCTCAGAATGGACAGATCTGTGAGTAAGGCCTTCTTTGGCTCTGGACCCAGGACACAGCCATCTCTCAGGCTGTTCCAATTTGTGCTGAAGACTGAAAAGATCAGTAGGAATTTCTTGTTCCAACATCTATTTTCTGAATTGAATCCACCTTTTGCTCAGCTATGTTCCTGAACAATAGTGAGTCACACAAAACAACAGTGAAACCAATATGAAATTTTAGCAATCTGTGCATTCTAGGGCCAGTTCTGACCCTTTTATAGGCCATATCCGAATTAATGCCATTCACTTCCTTAACGAGAAGTCACACAACTGTAACAAATATCAGAACAGTCCCAGTCTCTGCAAGGCTTTTGATTTTATGCCTTAGCAACATATTAGTTACCTGAAAAGGGCCACTACTATATATAAGAAAGAATACCATTTCTTACCACACAGTACTTGTTCCCTGGAGTAAGAAAATCAGCTGCCAGAAAACAACTGCTGCATGTGTCCAGGAGTTTGACAGCTTCTCCACTGTGGACAGGTTTGTAAGTATAGACTGTCCCCTGACAAATAAAGAGAAATAATCCATCACTGGACTATGAAACATTCCTTTAAAAGCTTTTAAGACTTCAACAAAAAATACCCATCTTTCTGAGCTTCACTCTGAAGTTTTATATTTGACTCTAAACTGAGGTAAAAAGTGCCCAGTAGAATTCAGCTGAGTTTAGTGGATTATATTAATTTACACTAGATGAAGATCATGTTAGTTCATTGTAGAGTGATCCAGCTAGTTACATTTTCAAGAAGTCTTGTATCTTAAAATTGCTTTAATAAAGTAATTTAAAACCATCCTATTTCATGTTACTCCAGGAATCCATGAATATTCTAAAACAACATAAACCACAAATCATAAATCTCTCTTTTTAAAGAGGTGATTTTATCTAAAGATCTCAAAGCCTCTTAGAAACAACACATAACTAATATTGACAAAGATTTTAGAACTTGTCTACTCATTTCACAAATGTGCTGCTTTAATAGTCTTTCCAATCTTTCATTTAAAACACAAGATGGACTAAGTTCACCTCTGATACAACTTGCTGACTTGTGTGATTACATTACAGACATTTCATACTAATAGCATCAGCACATATAGAGAATCACAGGAACATCCCATTATGCAATGCTGTTATTTCTGATCCTATACCTGGTCAGTGACAAGCAGAAGAACGGTGTAATCAGGAGAGAATATGAGGCTGGATATGGGTTGTAAGATATCAGTGCAGATTTTCAGCTCATACTGCAGACCTTTGATGTGATAAAACAACAAAATGCCCTCCTGTGCAAAAAGTACAAATCCGCATGAGGTCTGGGTCATTTATCCACTAGCCCACTCTGGCAAACTGAACTGCAAGAACTTCTGAAAATCTCTAAAGTAACAGTGTTTAACTAATGGTCTCATTTGCCTTCATTATGTTGAAATCCAGAGGACTCTTGCCCTGGATAATAAAACTATTGAAAAATGATGTTCTTTAATACAAGTCTTAGTAACAGTCCATGTTTGATAACAATAGACTCTCTCATCAGTTAATACTTACAATTTCATATTGTTTTTTTTGCAACAGTATATGAATTTGTCCCACTCTTAAGCAGTAAGGTACAATGGCACTGTCAGTTTGGCTTAAATACTGAGTTAGATTTTGCACAAAACAATTTGGCAGTTCTCTTGGCCATTTTCCTCTCCTTTCCTATTTTTTTGACCACCCTTCTTTTCTGTTCCTCTAGAATACTCTTTGTCTTTTGTTAAAAATAGGATTGTCCTCTTTTGTTGCTTCTTTGACTACAAAAATGGAATCTCTTCCCACCATGCTCCCTTCTGATTTCTTGTCTCAAGTCTAAACAAATAAAATATATACAACACCAGAGAGAACCTTTATAGTTCTGCAGTCCTCCACTTTTTTCTTACTCCTGTCTTTGCAGTGAACTCTGCAAATATACTCCATCTGAATGTTCTTTGATTTGCACACAATAAGAGTAAGTTAAAAGCATAAAGGATGACTTACACTTCCAGCTGCGTACAGTCCCTCGTTACAAAATGCCATAGCAAATAAAACTGGGTTTTGCAGATCCTTTGGTTTGCCACCTGGGAGCACAAAACCAATATAAAATATAAAATTTAATTTATTGCAACAGTGTGTCTCAACTTCAAATCTGGGATGATTTACTACTTGTGAGTAAAAAGGCTCCATGGGCTATACATTCTTTGAACTTTTTGCTGTGATAATGAAGGAGAAGGCTGGTATACATAATTTGAAGTGACAGTACTACTGTGGTCTGATGAACTATAAATTAATTTGAGAAATCATTTGATTTTGTAAAAGCTGCCATATTAAAGTTTGTCAATAACAGAATCATAGAGTCATTTAGGTTGGAAGGGACCCTAAAAGTGCTCTGATCCAACCTCTGGCTCAGCACAGAGACAAGTTCAGACTCAGAACCAACTTCAAAGTTAGATCATGTTGTCCAGAGACATATCCAGCTGAGGTCTCAATATACCCAAGAACGGAAATTCCATAGCTTCTCCAGGCAACTTCTCCCAATGTCTGACTACCTTCACTGTGAAACTATTTTTTTCCTAACATCTACCCAGAATTTCTGTTGATGCAAACTTTGTCCTTTGCCTGTCTGGCTCCATCTTCTCTGTAACCTTTCATTAGGCAGCTGAAGCAATTCTCTAGGCTGAACAAACATAGTTCTCGTAGCCCATCTTTATAGGTCATGCACACTGCAATAATCTTTGTGGCCCTGTGCCAAACTTTGTCCATTATGTGAATACCTTTTTGTAGTGTGGAGCCCAAACCAAAAAGTGTTTGAAACAAACCCCCAAATCCTAACTCAACTAAATTACAAGTGATTGCAGTTCTAAAAAAAGTTACTAAAACTAACCAGTAGGGAACCTATTCTAACATCACTTATTCCAATTTAAATTAGAATGAACAGAAATTATTTCACTGCGACTTTCTCCTGAGGCTATTCATTTGGCTGTTTATTAGCACAAAAGCTATTAATCATTTGTCATGTAAACACGTAAAAGATTGCCATCAATGTGTCTTACAGAGGCCAGTGTGAACTCAGTTTTTCTTCCAGCTGTACTCACATATTATTACTCCCAGACATCACTGGTGCTGCCTAAAAATCTATTAGCTTGATTTGAACATGGAAATACCTTTCCTTTTCTGTTCTTCTCTACAAACACAGGACACCATGTCCGATACTTTACACATGTATTCTGCACAAAAGAAAACAATTTATAACGTCATCCTTGTTTAGATATCAATATTACAATAAAAGTCAGTTGTATTCCAGTCTACTGAACAAAAGGCCCGGTTCAGTATTCTGAATCAAAAATACGCGTTCTTCCCAGTATCAACCATTTCTGTCATTTATGCAGCTGAGCAGGCACAATCTTTCTGTGATTCAGCTTACAGCTGTAAAAGGGAGATAGCAATACTTGCATGGAGAGTGCTACAGGTACAGATTTATCTGTCTTCTAGTGCTAAGTCCTGGTATTGTTATTTCTAACCATGATTTTTTCATTTGGTATACTTATGAAGGAAACTTCAGTCAGTCTGAAAAAAATGCCCAAGTGAAATGTTATGGCTACATAAGATTTTGTTTCCAACACCATAACAGGAATTTAGCACGTGCTTAAAGTTGGACATGCATTTAAGCATTCTGCTAAATAGTTAGAGATTGCATTATGTTATAAATTAAGCAGAAGCTTCAGGACAATATGAATACAGACAATTTTGTTACACAGTTTTAGGACAGGACACAAAGAAGAATATACAGGCCAAGGAAAAGCCCGAATGTCAAATATTCTTCTACAGAACAGGCAAAAACACCTCAGCTTTTCATTTGGTGATGATTCCCAACTCTTGATTTGGTAAACTTAAACCTCTGATAATTCAAAAGCAGAGAAATAACGCTAGTTTGTTGGGTTTTTTTAAGAGCAGCCTTCCGCTTCTCTATTAACCATCAAAACTGAACAGAGATACAGTACTTTGGGAAAGTCAGGGACACTTGCTGCAGCTTAAAAAATAGTGTATTACATGGCAAAAGAAGAAAACAAGATTATCACCAGCCTGTCTATTAACACTGATTCAGTGTTTATTATAGAAACAGTTCCACGCTGCTCTACAATAGGATGTTACTCAGTTCTAGTGTTAGGGAGAAGCATATTCTAGTATTCCTCTTAGACCTGACTGAACCAGTGAACTTCACGAGCACAGTAGGACTGACACCTTCCATCCCTGCAAAGGACAATAGGTTGCCTTTGCCAGAACACTTTATGCCAGCTGTGTCTTACTGTCCTCCACCTTGGGACCCCTCTGAATGGGCTCAGAAGGGTAGCATGTGGCAGGTAGTAGAGCAGACACCTCAGGATTTACAGGAAGAAGAAAGTATGGAATGGGCTGTTACCAGAAAACTTTAGTCAGTTGCTAGCCTGCCAAATGTCCCCACGAAAAAACACAGGTGGGAATATATATAGGGCAGACAAATCGCCTTGGCAAGTTGCAATCGATCTGAAGTCCTCCCATTCCAGAATAAATTACAAGCAGATTTCTTTCTTTGAAGCCAAAGACATCTTCTGTTCATTCTCTGTACTTCATACATTCTGCAGTAAAGCCTGATAGTCTTTATAGCCTTGTTTTCATTAGAAAATAGTTAATGTAATGACCTTCAAGAATTCTATTAAGCAACATCACATTAAATTCAGTTTTGTTGTTTGAGGACTCATCATGAGTCTTCAAAGATCTGCTCTAACATTATCTAACATACCAAATGAGGGCAATCCGATATTTAATGCAAAATAAAAGAAATTATTGGTATTTAACTAATAGTAAAAAGACTGTGTACAGCTGCTATATTAATAGTTTAATGTTAATCTAGTAGGGCTGGTTAACAAGATCCGGGCTTCTGGAACTTTTTATCAGTTTTGACGTATTTACAGCTTTTTATCTTTTTTTTTGCTCAAGAAATATGAAAGCCAATCATTGGGTGCTACAGAAACCCAGATAGAAGTTTAAAAGACATTCTCAAATGTTTATCATACTAATAAAGGAAATATGGTTCTACAATATAGCTTTACAATTTCTGTAAGGTGCACAACAGGAGAACAGAAGGAAGCAAAAAAAGTTTTCACTTATCTACTTTCTTCCCGACTTGAATAAAACACACAACACAGCTGTTCCTTACCAGGTGGAGGTTTTTGTTGAAGAACAGAAACACTGCATGTCTCAGCATCGATTGCCAAAACATACCCTTCTTTACAGCCCATGTAAATTTCTGAGGTTGCAGTCCAGCAGTGGGCAGTAGGATGCACTGAAGGCTTAATATAATTTCTAGGCTTCAGTACAAAAATAAACAAGTTCGGTCAACAATTAACAAGTATCTGTACAAGCAGTCACATACATTTTAAGGCAAGAAAAAGATCATTACCTCACAGAGTCTGACCACTTATATAACACCAGCCTTATTTTATTCAGTCATCCCTTCACTGAGGCTGGTAACTTGAGAAACAAGAATATTTTCCAGAAAAGTCTGTGTCTGGAGATAGTGGTGGAGAACTCATCTTTCTCCCTAGAAGCTTGTTTCAATATTTTCATTGAGGAAAAAGAAAAATTTTTGAATTTATTCTCTAGCACTTGCATCTGTTAGTTTTGTCCTCTAGCTTGGAAATCCCTCCAGTATCTTCCCTACTTTCACAAAGATATTGACCCACCATAACCAGGTCATGTCCCAATTTTTTAATGAAAAATTATGATAAAATTCAACTCATTGGGCCTCTAGAATTTTAATTTTTTTAATGTCAGAGTAGCACTGGAAGCCCAAATTGAAATGGTTACCTACTATGACCTCACCCTGACAAATGCTTTTCAAACTGCTTTTCAGAATAGTCTTCCACTTTGTAGACATAACCTGCACATGTGGTCCTGCATACTTGGCAGTACTAAAACACATTTTGTTTGAATAGTTTATCTCATCATATAATCCAAATTGTTCTGTAAAACAGCTCTGTCAACCTTTGTGTCATCTGCAAATTAGTTCTAGAAATATCCCTGCCACAGACTTCCCATGTGCCTTGAGTTTCATCTCACTAAAATAAATCTCATAAATCCGTCATCCATAAAACAGGAAGAACAGAACTTCTCCACCAAATATTATTAAAGATCTGTTCAGATACAACAGTAACAGGGATCATATAAATACCATGATAGAAAGAACCAGATTGAAGAGATTTTTAGGGAGGGGGAGAGGGGAACAAAACACAAGAGAACCTTGGGAGAACGTTTAAAAGAGAAGATTCAAAGAACCATGCACGTGTGCAGAAGTGGTGAAGAACAGTAGACAATATGATGGATGAAAAAAGAGTCTATAATTCTACAAAACACCTGCTGTATCACTAAATGTTCTATAAAAAGAGGAAATATAGATGGACTTGTGATGAAAACATAGGACAGAGATTATTAAGTACCTAGATTTCATTAGTAAAACATGCTAAGGACTTGCTGTATGATTCTGGGTAAGTAACTTACTCTCTATTTATACCTACAAAGCATTTTTAATTTCTCAGAGGGGACATTTTACAGAAACAAAACATATTAATATTTACTTTGTAAATCAAATAGGACTAACAGTAATAAAACTGTAACAAATGGGGCTTTACATCACCCGGTGAAACATTTAATATAGGCATTTTCACTGATTTTATGAGGTTTGACCATCACAAATCTTTGGGAAGGTTGTAATTGAACTACTGTGAATCAGAAGCTGCCTGTGTAAAGGCAACCTCTGTAATGTTTCTTTGTACCTGCTGTCATGACTGTCTTTACATATAAACTAGAAAAAATATGCTAATCCTAGGATGAGATTATATAAATCCCAAACCAGCTGGCTTCTTGCACTGTGCATTGGTATCGTGGTGCATAATATTAAGAATAATGCTGCCATCTTTTTTTTAACTTCTCTCCCTTTTGAGCAGCAGCTTTTCAGGGAAAAAAAGCATCCATGATGGATCCTTGTCATGAAAGTTTTAGAAAAAGACAATGGAATAGAACTGGTACTGAGGATGAAGTGGAGTCAAGTGGGCTTGTCATGGCAAAGCATATCGAGAAAACTCTGGTTCCAGCTGTAAGAAATATTGGAACAAAACTAAATCAATCTAATGCAAGAAAGAAAAGGATGGGAAGCTGTAGGATGTTTCAATTCCTTTCACTCTGCTGCCCCGTTGTGGTTACACTTTGGTACATACCCAGCCTCAGTATCTTGCTCTAGAGATGGAACCCTAACAGAAGCAAACAAGTGCCCTGGCAACCGGCTCGCTTCTCTTACTTGCCTCTCACACATTCCTTAGGAGTGGGCTACAGCCTCCAAGGACCATGGACTACAGGTTGAGGACAACTCCTTTAAATAATAGTCTAAACAACTGGTTCTCCACTTTGGATGCTTACATCAATGTGAAAAACATTGATTTCAACTGACTTGGATCTAGTGATAAAGAACAAAAATCCTTCTGTCGAATTCTGTGGAGACAGGGAGAGCTTCATCAGGCCATTACACTATTCCCACTGCATTCAGCTGTAAGTGGGCTCTTTCTCACTAGTTGAAAAAACATGATGACAGTAGAGAGGAAAATAACTCCAAGGCATCTACAAATGTTGAGGCACAGATTTTAGGCCACAGTCAGATAACTGATCGTGGACATTTGTAATGGTAAACAAATCATCAGTGACAGTAACCATTGATACATCTGCTGCAGCAGCCTGTCAATTTATAAAGACAGTGAAGAATGGTAATTACACCACCTCCATTTTGGACAGCATGGTCCATTACAGCAGCTGTAGTCTGAAGATATCTGGATATCTGAGGAACTCAGCAAGTTCAGTCATTTCAATCTCTCTCAAAGTTGCTGCGTTAGACTCTTTTCAACATAAGGGTCTTGATAAAACAATACTTCAAAGAAGTATCTTCTCCATCAAGTATATTCTGATCAACTTGTGCAGGAATTGCTTTGCCAAGACCACGTGTTCCATGTCGGGGTGCTGATGAGACTTACACATGCCATTTCCCCCAGTGTGGGGGGTTACAAGATCTAGTAGTGGCTCAGTTTTTCTGCTAGGTTAGAGAGAAAGCATATGTGCACAGGCATGTGGAAGGGAGAATTAGCACTGTAAGGCACAATAATTGCAAGTCCTTATACAAATTACTCAGCTATCATAGTCTGGAGCAAGGTGAACACATGCCAGAAATTGATTCAGTGCCTCTGGGTGCTAAACTGTGAGTGTGGCACCTCACAATTTAGTACACAGGAAACAACAGACCACCACCACAACAAAGGGATCAACAACAGCTTTCTGCAAATAAAGCTTTCCTTTCTAAATAACCTGATGTTCATGACCTTGTCAATATTCACAATCAAATACACCCATCTAGGGAATCTGGAGAGTAAATAACTATCAAAATAGTTACTATGTTATTGGAAAGGAAAGGAAATCTTTGTCAAAGACTAGTAGAACAATCTACTCTTACTCCAGGAATATTTCTACATATAAGAAGAACATAACCACCTTGAAGGTGCTAAAAAGAAATTGAGTTTTTTCTGAAGGCAGTTGGGAATGCAAAGACCCTATAGTGGTATCTAGTATGGTTGAAAGCACAAACTTTTCCATGTGGAAAAGTTCATGACATGGTTCTGCAAGTTCAAGCATAAGAACCTACATTCCTGAATAGAACAATGTCTTTTCAAGGACAAATAAAATCTACTAAGCCTCACAGACCTAATATGGCGGTTCCTTTTTTCCCCAATACCTCTCATAATTCGATTTATAGGCTAAAGAACAAAGTGGTTTTGCAGTTCATCATCAGCCCAAGAGACAGTAAAGCAGAAGAAAAAGGCAAGGCCCTGATGAGCATATAGTATCTTCATTTTCCATGTTCTAAGTTATCTGAAATGTAAGCAGTTCATGAGTAATCAGAATCAGTAGAGGATGTTTTTTGTATTTATTGACTGTCCTGGAAACCAAAGGCATCAGCAGTTACACCGTTAAAAACCTCTGCGAATCCAAATGCATGAAGCCTTGAAAAGAGGATGAGGTCAGGAAAGCATAATTCCCTATTTTTATCTTTTATTCTGCTTTATAAGAAAAGTTTATGGCAGAAATCTGTGGTATACTAATCTGAAAATACAGAACTCACATTTGTCCACCGAAAAGACATAGTATAACGCCAATATCTTATGCAAGGTCGTTTTGGTGTCGCACATGTATCACAAGCCACCAAATAGAAATTGATGGCCTTAATCTTAGAAGAGAATCCCAGATTTGCAAGTTAAATGTTTTCACACTGGTGGATGCTTCTAGTTGGTAGTCAGGTGAAAGTAAATTTCAAACAAAATGAGAACACTTCCGAAGCCTCTCGAAAGAGGCATCTCAAGGGACGCTAACAAGTAAATGATCAAATGCAGGTGAGACAAATAGGCAGGTCCAACACTGACAGTGGTATGGGAACGTATTTCAGAAGCAGGGGTTGCTGTCTGGAATAAAGCCTGCAATGAATCCATAGCTTGAGACATTTTCAGAATCAAAAAGAAAACATCTCAAAGGGAAGTAAGGATACCTGAAGGTTACTATCAGTTTAGCATGGGAACAGGGTTTCAGAAGGTCATATTAGCTTGGGCATGGTTAAATGCTGACTTGCTTACACTGCTTCTGGGATACAGATTAGTACCTCCACTGCAGATGTATTACTATGCTAGAGCCTGTGTCAGAAATCTCTATGTTGTACTGCTCTGTGCAGTAGCAGCATGCCTGACGAAATGGATTTCAGAAATATTGTTGAGACAGCAGATATATTTACTGGGTTGTACCTGTTCAACAAACATTAACAATTTATTAACACCTATTTGCATAAAATGTATAATGACTTGGAATAGCAAAAAGGAAAAAAAATCAGTAACTACCATGAATGTTTCTACTTCATCTCCTACCAGTCCAGCAACGGCTGAAACTGGCAAATCAGGGCCATGGTATGGATCTTCACTACGGGTAACTGGGAAAAACAAATCCTCCTGAGGACTCACGGACCCTTGTTCATCAGGGAGCTTCACAGGGCTGTGAAAAGGCAAGGGACACTGTCTGAGGAGAAGATACATTATGAATAGTAAATGCTGGTAAGAATTTACTTAGTGTTTTGAAAACTTTGAAACATCAACTCAGTTAATGGGCCTTACTTCTGCAAGCGTAATGGAGGATTGTTTTAGACAATCATTCTACATGGCACATACCATTTCACTGAAAAGTAATAGTAATTCTACTACAAAAGAGGAATGTTCCTAACTGGTAGATGTGGATTGCCATGTTCTAGCTCAGTGTCTTTTCTTGTTGCCTTGTATAAAAACTGTTCTATGCTATTGTTTCTTTATTAACCAGGATTAATAAAGTCATACACCTAACCTGCATATGCTGTGAGGATTCATGCTTAATGTTTCTTTGGAGAAAGTTTAACCATGATGAAAAACTAGTAGTAGTATTTGCCTGTTGCATTCTGGTAATCGGTGTATGAGTGGCTGTTACAATGCAGGAGTTGAGGATTCTATAGTTTACAAACTATGTTGATTTATGACTTGGAAAAAATTATGTAAAATAAGAAATTCTTAATGGAGGTTTAACCTCTACTGAATACAATGAAAAGTGAGGAAAAAGCAGTATATGTATTTATTTTCACATGTGTACTCTATAATGACAAAAGGCAAAAAACCCTTCAGTATTCTTTTCAGATCACAAATTAAGGCCTTGACTCCACTTTCGCTAGTATCACAGAATCACAGAATGTTAGAGGTTGGAAGGGACCTTGAAAGATCATCTAGTCCAACTCCTCTGCCAGAGCAGGACCACCTACAGTAGGTAAATTGTAGTATAACTGTGTCAGTGGCAATATGTTGGTTATATTCATAGTTAGCAAGATTAAACATACTTGGGAATTGTAGAGTAATTGCCACTGAAACAGAATAGGTGTTATACTTCAAGGACTCCAACTTGAATGATACATACTCCTTTTATACCACCCTCAAAAAACATTTTAGCATACATAAATTCTAGGTTTGCTGTGCTCAGAGAATGCATTGACAGAGACACCCCTTATGGACCTGTACAAATTGGCCACACAAGCTGGAAATCACACAGAAAACCGATACTGCTTTTGGTACAATTGTGATTACAACAACAACATACTGTTTAACTATGCTTCGTAGGAAGAAAATTGATCCAAATTTGGTGGTTTCATAGCTACAAAAGCAATGCTCAACATCGCCACTTGCAAGAAAGCAGCCCAGGCACAACCTTAATTCAGTCATGCAGCTTTTGATAGAGGCTGCCAAAGCAGCTGAGTAGTATTAGCTTCATGATGTGCATAATCTGGACATGTGAGTGCTAAGAAATTAAATCATAAATTCAGTTCACCTGATTGACTAGGTAGATTCACACTGGTTGTGATTTAGCAATTACTGACTGTAATTGCTAGGGGAACTAAATTGGATTAAATTCTTTGTAAACAGACATAGTTTGCTAGTCTTAGTTATTAAAATATACTTCTAGATTTTTCTCTTAACCTGAAGGGTGTTCCACTTACTTTCGCTTAAGGTGATGCTCATCATTATTCTTTTCAATATGCCAGATAGTAATGGAGCTCTCATTAACAAAACACAGTTGTTGCCAATTCATAGGGTTAAAACTTAAAGAGGTCGCTGTTACCCCTGGCTGAGACTCACTGCACAAGAGTCTATTTTCTTGCCAGTTCCTTCATTAAAGAGAGTAGAAGAAAATCAAATCCATTAAATAAGTCAAAAACATTCAAGCCAAAGATCTGGGTGTGATTATGACTGACATTCAAGATCAAGTTTGGAAAACAAATACTTTGTCATGGACAAAAAATTTCTGCTGTCAAACAAGTTAGGTCCTCTTGAGAATGAAACTAAGGTGGATAATTAGCCATACAGAAAATGATTACTGCTACAAAAAGACTGAATAGTAAAATAATTTTGAAAACTGACATTTTGGAAGCATTATCATGCACTTCCTTTTGTGAAAAGACCAACAGAGTGAACAGACACGGATCTTTTTTTATCAGTTCCATCAGTGACTACTTGAATGGGCCCAAACAATTAACTCTTCAGCACCCCAGACCTCAGCCTTGTTTTTCCAGTCCTTAAAATAACGATTATAATGCTTGCAGCTTGCAGTTGTAAGGTATTATAATTAGAAAATAAAACACAGTCAGCCTGTGATTATCTATGGATGAAGCACTTTGGTAACCCAGTAATTGTGCTGTCAATGCAGACATACAAGCCATGGCTGCATTAACTAACTTGAGCACAAAACAGGGCAGAATTTGTGTGGGGCTGTTATACATAGCTGACACGAGCCTGGGAATCTGCTTTCCACTGGCTTTTCTTTTGTCCAGTGTAAGCTATTTTATGTTCTCAGCGTCTAATTTACATATTTCTCCATTATCCAGATTAATTCTTGACTGTATTTGCATTTTTAGGTGCCATCCAAGAACTGATCAACATCATTTGAAGAAAATGGTTAAAACTGTTTCTTAATTTCTTGGACAATAATCTGACTGTTAATCTAAATAACATTTATAGCTTTAGTATTTGTTATTACTGCTGAGAGGAAAAAAGCCTAAAATGCATACTCTGCTGTAAATGGATTTAGTATAATCCTGTTTCTCTGGCCTGTAAAAAATTCACTCACAGAAACAAATCAGCATGCACGACAATGGCCAATATTGATAGCATATGCAAAAAAATGAGAAGTATTCACGCATACACAGTAACTCATTAAAATTACAGAAAGCTATAAGCTGCAATTCTGACTTTAAAAGGTACCAGCGTAGCTCGCTCTTTAAAGATCTGCCAGCCTGTTCTCATCTCACACCTAACAGATAGTGCCAACACTCTTTTATAGTAGGTAATTTATTAAGATCTGAAACAATTTGGCACATGTATCTGGAAAAGAATCTGGCATTCCCTCCTTTGAACACAAAAGAATAAAGATCTAGGGATAAAATATCTCAGATGAAAGGTAGCTTTTAGTTATCCATAATCTTTCTATATTTTGAGGCTGACAACTTTCAAAACTTCTCTTATACCTCTGATTCCAAACTATCTGCTTAAAATACAAGAACTGTGCAAACATCATATCGTAATGACACATTCAGAGTGCTAAATATTGAGATTTCTTTCATCTGTACACACACACTTTTACAATGAATGCACAATATAATCCAATTGCAAAAAGGAAGGTCCTGATCTCACAGCAAATTCACAAACCTCTGTTCAAGTTATTATAAATTCTAAGTTTAATATTGCAAGATAATTCAATTTTGTTACTAAATTCTTTCTGACTGGAAAGAACTGGATGGTTCTTTTATGACAATTAGCTGCTCATAGTCATATTCATGCTGATTTAAATAGGTTAAATTGTTTGGCCTTGGAAATTGCCACTACTTTAAATCATTTAAACATTTCTAGATATTTCCATTTTTAGGAATAATCTAGAGAAGTCTTTTAAGATGGTGGATTTTTGTTAAGAGCATACAATGAACACATTAGACCATGTGTGTTATTTCTGCTGTAAGCGACAAGCATGTAAGCTCCTCAGGCTAGTGAGGCTGTCTTGTTGGTTTCTACTGTGGTATACACACAGACATCCTTCCTGAACTACTGGGTATGATCAGCGTTCACAGCAAACATTATTCTTCTTCATAAGGGATAAAGAAGAGGCATCTGTAATAGTATCTGCTATTATTGCTAAAATTCTGAAGTTACAGGAGTTTCTGCCTCTTCACTAATTATTGTACAAGAAAATGTCATCACGAAATTGGGAGTATACAGAACATTCCTTACATGTCCTTGCTTGCCTTCCTCCTACTCCACCCTCCCCATTTGTTTTGAAGAAGTGCTCACACTCCATAGTCAATGGGAGCTTGCTGGCAATGGAGGCAAGAGCAGGATTATATTTTTATGGAACAACTAAAAAATTACATATTCTAACTTTCTGTATCTGCACCGTATCATATAATATTTCTTTTCATGACAATGAGCAGAAAATTATGATCTAACCCAGTGACCCATGGTAGTGTAATCACTGAGCAAAACTGTAAGACAGAACTAAGATCAAGCCCAAGTAATTAAGAGGACCACTGAACATTCCAGGGGGACAAAAAAGTAGAAATAGGCTTTAGAATGCTTTTCCTCTTTTCAGCAGGCACCTTTCTTTCACAAACAGCATGGTACTCAACTTCCAAGGGCAAACAGATAATTAACTGATGCCAAAGACTTTAGAAGTATTCTAAACTACAAAATTTTGAAGGTAGAAAGTAGCTGTAGCAAAGTAACAGTCATTCTGGCTAGTAGCTACTAACGCTTGAAAATAAACAGCAAATTTGGCACAGAAAGTTTGCAGACAACAATCACCTGAAAAAAAAAAGAGATGAAGGCATCCGGTGTGTCTTCCACATCTGTTAACTTAATTTGTGCTAAAACACACCCAAAACTATGATTCAAATGTAAATGGTAATAGAGAATTTTTTTTTACTCTTACCATACTGAAAGAACAAATTCTGGGATTGAAGAGTAACTGGCTAGATATGGGCCTGTGAAACTAAATGCAAGTAAGGTGTAGTCCAGCTGAGCATTACCTGAAATGTAAAAATAGAGAACATGGTCTTTAACTGCCCTGGACTTTACCATATACTATCACAGGTAAAGTACTCTTCTCAGTTCCTTTACATCCATATTTTAACTCTTCAAAGACATTCTTCAGGCCCTGATTCCTTCGCTTTACCCCAGATTACTGGTTTTTGGTTTGATCATAAAAATGTTCACTATGTATCACTGCTTGGAATTTTTTCATTTTTTTTCAATAATACCTTGAATTTGTATTTTCCCCCCAAGTGCCCTGAAATAATTTGCATAATTTCATTCATATATATGAAATAAGCAAGTATTATGATCCTTAAACAGCAAGCAAACTGAAACATGGATAGGGCAAGCAGCTTAACTAAGGAGAGAAATGTTACGAGGTAGGCAAAAACATACATTAGATCCCAGACTCCAAAGTTTAACTGCAAGAACCCTCATTCCTCTCACATCTCAGATTTCTCAATGTGACTTTCAGCAGCCTGCTTGGGAGCCTACTGCAGTATGATTTTTTTGGTTATTCTGACTATATTTTCCTAAAATGAATTCCATTTCATTCGTTTTCCTTTTAAAACGGCTCCACTTTGTATCGTCATATTCCTCCCTAGCTTGAGACTAACTAAAGGTAGTGCAGTGGAAAATTCCTTCCGCTGCTTTCCATGCATCTTGTCATGAGACAGTTTCCTGTCACACTGTTTTTCATATCTTATCAAAAAAACCCTTCAGAAACTGGATGATTTTAGCATTGTTTTAATGAAATGGTGACAGGGAGGGTTACCACATCACTACCTTTTAATTCTGTCAGTTTATTCAGTTCTGGAAAAGTGTAGATATATATGATGGGATTCAGCTTCCGATCTGAAAAGGCCAGCACTTGACTGTTCCCATTCGCTGCAAAGGCTCCCACCTGGCCAGTCTCACACTGCAGCACTGTCGTCTTCTTTGTTTCAATGTCCAGGAAGAGGATGTAATTGCCACAAGGGTAGCAGGCAGTTTGATTGTTGATAAAGCCAAAGTTCTTGTTTGAGAATCCCTGAACCCAACTTAAGAAAGAACAACTGAATATTAAAATTATAATTAAAGATACATATTTCTTAAAATACCGTGATAAAGGGAATGTTGCAGCCTAAGTTACACTGAACTGATGCTTGGGACTTGTTAGACTCATCCTCATACCAATGTTGCAAAACCACAACAGCTTCAAGATGTAGTTTTATGAATCACTAGTTCAGTGCTTCCAAAAACGTCGGGTCACTCTTACCCTGATAGAGCACAAAGGACTGTCATAAGAACATGGAAACATGCTTAGATTTCTTTCAGCTTTCACTAAAAATAAAGCTAGCCAGTTCACAGACTCTGTTTTTGTACTCATATACCATAGTAACAGAGTATACCTTATTCTGAAAGAATTACACAGGTACAATCTGTACTTGGAACCCAATTACGTCTGCTTAACCTTTTTACACTTTCACATCGCATCCCTGTAAAACAAATAATACAAAGGCATGGCTTGTGTTTATATGGACCTAACCAGGAGGACTGTTCTGCTTTAAAGATATCAGTACTTCAAAGTGATAAAACTTTGGAATGTAAGCAGGACCGAAAGAAATTACTGAAGAGGAGTCAGCTTATGAACTTACAATGTATCAACAAATTCATAACTGCCTGCAGATGTTTTTACCTTTCAGAAAGTGTGTGGATAAACATCAGAGTCCTCTTATAAAAGGGATCTGTATTTACCAATGAGTGAAGATGTCTGACTGACCCACAGCTTAGCCTGCTAATACCACAGCAGAAAAGTTCCAGCAGTGTAACAGATATCCTCTGTGCACAACGCTGCTGTTAGTGCCTTCTCTTCTAATTTCTATTGAGAAACTGTCCATCTCTTCTCTTCTTGCAAATAAGAGCATTTGATTGGAAGAGGTCTTTGTCCTCTGCAATTGCAAGCAGCGTTTTCATGCTCCTTTCATGAACGTAATCAGTCATAAGATCAGCTCAGCTGCTGATCCTCTGTACTCTTACTAGAAGATTGTACTACAGCCTCAGCACTCTCGTAGTTAGGAACATTCTCAAATGACTAGTCTTAAGAAATTTATGTCCTGCAGTAACTTCTCATTGTCTTTTATGAGTAGTTTCTGCTCTTGGCCTTTTTCGCTACACACCAGAGCAGTAAGTGTAGCCAGAGGGGGATGGGACCACGCTGACCACGTGCTCATGCAGAGGAACTGAATACTATGGCAACAAAAAGGGGATATTTCAGCTGATGAATGTTTTTCTGGACTTTTTACACAAGAACTAGATGTATGACGTGCCATGGCACACAAGCAGACCTTTATGAACATGCTTACAGGACCAGCTGTACACTTTTCTCCAACGCTAGGTCTGAATCGGTGGAAATGATGTATTTTTAAGTTCTGTTTGAAGGGGTAAAACGAAATCTAGAAAACATGTATGCAGGGATAAATTAACAGGATGACAGTGTAATTTATCATTCTTATACAACCAGTAAAAGCTTAAGGGGACAAGGATTCAGGCTGCTATCTGATGTCAACTACAATGGGTGCAGTGCACACCGAGTCAGGTAATGAGCCACGGCTCACTCTGTTTTCCATGCTGTGTGTGTCTCCATGCCTGTATAAACATAGTGTCAGAAGTATTTCAGTCACGAACGCTGCCAGCTGGGGAAATGTAGATGGTAATTAGAGTTGCTTGGAAATTTCCTTACAGAGCATTTTGCCACTGAAAAAAGCTAGTTCATACAAAACACATTATATGAAACCATGAGCTTTGTCAAAGTTCTGTGTTTTCTGAAGAACAAAACACAACATTCCAATTACCCACACCAAAATAATTTTTGTCACTTTCTTCTAAAACTGTTATACCTACTACCACTGCTAACATTAATTTACAAGAAAGGCAAACTTTAAACATTTCTGTTTTATGGAAATGGGCTTTGTTTCACACTCAAAAGGGCTTAAATTATTTTTTTTATTTTGCATTAACATTTTCATTTCATAATGGTGTTTTCACAAAGCAGAAAACCTGAGTCATAGCTCTTCCAAGTAACACCAGTTGGCACAATGGAGCTCCTCTGAATAGCAATGACATGCTTCAGATGGCATCTATTTTACTCTGCAAGTATCAGAACGGTTAAGGCTGAAGCCTGTTTCTCCTATTACTAGAAAAAATAGTAAACCAAAATTTTTTTCCCCTAAAAAGTGCCGCACCTATAATTATGGATCTATGTCCCATACCAGCCATAAGAGCTGATGAAACAGGTGAAATACTTACAATAGACTAGGAAGTTTAAACACCTGTCCCATTACACAAAAAAAATAATCTAAACATCCTAGATTGCCATGAAAGTCTCAACCAAGGTGGGGTAGGAAGGGTGTAATTAAACTACAGCTCCTATTCGCTCAGAGCCAAAAAGCAAGTTGCTGGATTATTAAGAGCTCTGGAAGATAAGTGTACTTCTGTATTATATAGCATGGGTTATGTTTGTGGGAAATGGAAATATGAAATTCTGATATGCAGGTTAAGATGCTAAGAGAGGAATGGAGGAGTGAGGACTTAGAATACCAGGAAAACTAAGAGCCATGACAGAAGATGACGACAGTGGGGTTTAGGAGGTACAGAACAGCCATGGAAATTCTAGAGTATTGAATTTGAAGCACTCTAGGTAAAACAAAACAAACAAAGAAAAAAAAGAGAGATGTGTTCATGAAGTCAACTGAACTGTATGGGTTCACGAGGCTGAGGACTGAGAAGAAAAGTAGCCTGAGCGTTCATCAGGATTGTATGCTGCCAGAACCACTACACAGGAACACAGGAAAACACAACTCCTGCCACACTTAACTCATCAAGCTCTAGCTTAAAATTAGTCAGAGTTGCCTGCTCCCCATTTCAGAGCCTCCCTGTGCTAAGGGCAGAGAACCTAAGCTTCATCTAAATCCACCAAAGGCTCCAGTCCCTGCTATACGCTGCAGTCCCAGTGCTTCTTTCCCTCTCTCCCCTAACCATTTGTTACCCTAACACAGACCCACAGCACAGCGGCCTCCCTTCCTTCCCCTGTTAGACCTGCCCTGTTCTCTGACGGCTGCATAGGGCTGACCCGGGCTGAGAGGGGCTGGGCCCCGGCGGCACAGGACAGGACGCCGGGCACTCCGCCGGGGCCGAGGGGCTCAGGAGTGT